AATCAGCGAGCGCGGGAGGCGGGTGTTGTAGGAAGGTGTCGGTGACGTCTAGAGTTTGCACCGAATTTGCTGGTTGTAGTTTAGCAATGGTGAAGAATGCGATGGTAAAGTAATCAGTTCTGGTTCTATCAAGAAATTGAAGCCGGAGCAAGAGGAATGTTTAGCAAATGTAAATGCTGGCAAAGATGTTGTGGCGCTACTTCCCACGGGCTCCGTTAGTGACAAAGGAGATGGCTAGGCTAAATGCTAGCAACTCACTCTGGCGCATTACATACGTCAAACTCAGATCCAATCGTTTCAATCTGCAAAAGGAGTTAACCCCTCCCACCTGTTAACGGAGCTCAATGGAGCAAATCCAGACCTTAGTACGAAATGTTATTTGTACTATGGTGTGGTACGACCAGGCTACTGCAACACTGGAACTAGCAACTAGCTCTTTTCTGACTGTTTCTGTGGTGTAAGAAGAAAAATATATCAAAAGTATTTTGTTTTCACAATGTGAAATATGACTCATCACATGAGTCTCTCTCGCTAGTCTGTCACTCTCTCACTCTGGTCACTCACCTGCTGGTCACTCACTCTGGTCTCTGTCTCTCTCTCTGGTCTCTCACTCTCTTTCTGGTCACTCTCTCTGGTCACTCTCTCTCTGGTCATTCACTCTTGTTCTGGTCTCTCTTTCTGGTCACTCTCTCTGGTCACTCTCTCTCTGGTCTCTTTCTGGTCACTCTCTCTGGTCTCTCTCTCTCTGGTCTCTCACTCTCGTTCTGGTCTCTCTGTCTGGTCTCTCACCTGGAAGCTGTTTCAATTGACGTTCTACAGCCGTCTGTGTGAGGGCGGGTCCCTCCTTCAATGTGGGCCTCCGACGTTTCTTTCTTTTCTCTTTTGGGTTTTTAGGAGTTGTTCTTGTCGATGCAGGGGGTCTCCGGACAGTGGTGATGATCCAGGACACTCGGCATTTATTAACATTTATGGACTGTGGTCTCTGCTCCTCATGCAGATGTGTCCCATAATGTTCAATTAATGAGAATGGCTACTTGAGTTTACCATGATCTCTTATTTTTGTCATGAAAACGTTAACAAATAATTCTGAAAACCTCCTTGCATGTGTATTAATAACGTATATGTCAGGGACGTGCGGTGAGGTTTGTGATTGGGGAGGCACTGACTTTAAAAGTCAGATTTACAATCATTATTCAAATAAAATAGCATTTAATCACCAATGCAATGACATCCACAAACTTTATATACTGTAAAGATAAGAGAACCAGCTTCTTTTAATAATCTCACAACAAATCTAGCTGCTGACTCTGCTCCGCATCAAACAACATCTTTAAGAAGCGCAGGTGCGAGAGACGCGAGGAGAGAGAGACGCGAGGAGAGAGAGACGCGAGGAGAGAGAGACGCGAGGAACATAAACAATAATTTAAACAAGTTGCAGAACTCTTGAGCAGTGTTTGAATCAGTGTTTTTCGGAAAAGCACTACTTTGCCGGTATCTGTCAATGTTCAACATAAAACACAGATTAACAAACTCCTCCCCCGCAGCCGGACTAACCTCGTAAGTCCAGTGGTGGTCTCCCAGTCTATATTAATTCTTTCTTTGTTTGAAAGTCCAATTGAGAAAAAAAATCTTCATTCAAATCATCCATTTTCCAGCAAAAGAAATAGCATTTTGGGCTGATTGTTTGTTAGCAACTCTGGTATGAACTTTATGCTCACTATCACCCCTAGCGGTGAGGCACAGATACCGCCTGCCTCACGCCAAGCTTTTTCCTTGTGTGTTCATCTACGATCAAAAGACTTAAACTAAATATAAATTGTACACACATACGTGCAATACACTACTAAACACTAAGAGGAGTTTAAAAAATGTTTTTAAAGCAGGATATTTGAAACAAACGGTGATATATCAACTGCACGAGCTGAGTGCACTCAGACACACACACACACACACTGTGAGGGAGCGGTCTGGGGTGAGGCACGCAGGAGCGCTGCCTCACCTCGTCTCTTTGAATAGGAATAACGGGATTTCGGCGATTTTGACTTCAGAAATGATCAAAACTGATGGGAACCGTGCCGAATATACATTAAAAGCATAGGACAGTGGATATAAATTATATATTTAAACTAAAATAATTATTAGTTTCCAATAATGGCAGGTGAGGCTCTGCCTCCCCTGCCTCCCCTGACTGCACGTCCCTGGTATATGTATAATGTATTCTCCAATTAACATCTAAATGTGTTGATTTATTGTTACGGAAACGTAGGCGTAGACCAATCAGAGAGGAAGGGGGAGGGAGCTTGGGTTGTTTTTTTCAAATCATGTACCTCTCTTTTTTTTCTGACAAACTCCAGACAATCACTTTAAGCGAGCTCAGCGATTGGCTCTGGAGCTTCTCTCTTCATTTATAACATTTCCTAACGCCGTCTGACCTGTCTGACGGTGAAAAAGTCCATCTAATACTCCACGATTATACCTAATTATAATTATACCTAACCCAGCCTCTTTCTCAATCTTTAAATCCAAATCCTCAAAGAGTAAAGTGCTGGGCTTCTCTTATACTCCTGTTTACTTCATATTCTACCAAACCTGTAATGTCAGAGCAATGGCAACTTAAACTCAAGATATGATAAAACAACTGAGTGGGAATTAGAAAAGACAGTTGAATCAATTACTGTATGTTAAAGATTTATGTATGTAAACTTTTGCGCCAGTCTTCAAAAATTTTTGTGTGCATTTCTTTTCTCATCTTTCCGGTTTCTCCCTGGTCTTCCTCTCTCTGGTTTCTTCCTGGTCTTCCTCTCTTTATGGTCTCTCTCCCTCTCTGGTCTCCCTCCCTCTCTCTCTACCATGATTATAAACCGTAAATAAACTACTGTTTAGTAAAGTCAGTTAATCCAAATGTAATATAAATATACTTTATATAGACACATAAGTCATAGTACAACACTTTAATAAAGCACAGACATCTTCCCCATAGAACTCAATGTAAACTACAACAGCTCAACCTCAGCTGACAGAGAACCTTCAGCTTTCACAAAGGTCAGATTTTGTGGGGATTTTAATGTCCCTTGTCATCCTGAACTTTGTTCTTTTTTTCTTTAAATCCACACTTTACTGCCACAAACTCTGCTCTTTTCCTTCTCGCTCTAGCTCCTCTCTGATGAGCAGCTCTGATTGGTAAGAGCGCGGCCAAGCCCCTCTGTGCACGTGCATGAGATTCACACATGCGTATTTGGCGCAACGCATCATGGGAACTCGTCCACTGCGCAGAACCGGGAGGACCAGACGATGCCCAAATACGGGCGAGTTCCTCTAATCTTTTGATCCCCATGGTGGCACATGCGCCACTGAGCACATATTTGATAACAGGACCACCTTGGATCGCCAGGGCTTGAATAAAACGCACTCTTACAAACTCTGAGCTCTCCCCAGCTCCTCTGTGTCTGCACTCTTGTACCATAGACTCTGCTCTTGCAGCGTGCCTTCGGTTGCAGCGACAGATATAACCGTGCAGGCTTAATATCATTCAGAAAATCGCCCGTGCATAGTCTTGTAATCTACTACTTTGATACTCTCATCACTGTACTAACCAGGCCCTGCCCTGCACAGCTTCATAGGTCAGACAGGATCTGGCTTTTCACTTGCAGGTATGGCCTCTGTGTGTAATGTGAAAAAATAGTGATAACTCAATTTAAAACAATAGAAGAGTTCGCAGTGATTCTCTGTAATTACGTTGTTGCTTCGTCTCGCACGTCACAAAAACACACACACTACCAAAAGATCTGGAAAACTTTTATTGGACTTCACCCATACAAAATAAAACAAATGCTAAAAGTTTACATTACAGTGTCAAAAGGTGACTGTCTATTTCTTGGGGGGGAACATTTCATCTTGTGGCGTCAAGGAGGGTGTGGAGGATGGGTTAAAACGAGCTAAAAAAAAAAACAACGAAGGAGAGCAGAAAGAAAAGCTTTAAAAACAAAAAAACAAGTTTGTTCAACGCGCTTCGGAATCCGGAAACGAGCGAATCTCGGTTGTGAAATGGACTCGATAAAAACGAGGATTAAAACCAAGAGAGAGAGAGAGAGAGAGAGCGGCCCTGGGGACAAAGACGTGGCCGCCCAGTGCAAAATCCAAAAAGGCAAAGGCAGGATTTATGACCTTAACAGCAAATTTTATGCGGGCAAAAACAACAGAATTTAACCGGGAATTGCCTTTAAAATTATGTTTAAAATATTGAGAAAATTGTGCAAAAATGAACTAAGATAAAATAAGACAGTGCACAAGATCCAAAACCACAAACCCACTCTGTACACTATGACAACTTTGTATAGTTTATTTACAAAACTTGACTTTGTACTTGCATGCGTTTCCATTGTTATTTGAAATTTCTGCGTCAGCCATTTTGAAATCAAAGCGGCCATTTTGAACTGTTAAATCGAATGCGATGAAAAACTACATTTACACCTGTTTGAATCCACACCCTCCAATTTCAATGTGAGATATTTCCTTGATATGTTCTAGTTTCTGCCTACTGCACTGGGCTGTTGCAGACAGTTGTCCTCCAGGGGGCACTGTAGAGCCAGTGTGTCGCCGATGCAGTTGTGAGAATTGCTTCCTGCTTCCTCTGTGTCTTCCTATGTCACTTGTTATTCAACACAGATCCGACTGAGGATACGCAGAGAGCGGAGGACTACAAAAAGTGCCAAAAGAACAAAACAAAAAAGAGAAAAAAAAAGATATATTTATACGTCTGTTAGCCGCACCTATCCTCTCTGCGGGGCCAAAAAGCAGTGACCAGTTTCTCCAGAGTCAAAAATGGCTAAAAAACGTCTTTGCCGAAAAAACTCCTCTACAAAAAAATAAAAATAAAAGCCGTTTTTAAAAATTAAAACGCCGAATGTACAAAGCTACAAGCAGGGTCTTGGGGCTTTTTTTTTTTACGTGGAGCCCGATGTAGAGCCTGCGAGCGCGGTGAAGGAGGGAGGGGGGAGGAGCTAGGAGTCGTAGTCCTCGTCGTCGTCGTGGGCCGCGTGGGGGGCGGGGGGCATGGGTGGGGGTTCGCTGAAGGCCGCAGGGCGAGGAGGGTAGTGGACGGGGTACTGGGGCGCGGTAAGACCAGAGCCTGCTTCATGAGGACTGAGGAGAGAGCAGAGAGAGAGCGGGTTAGAGACTTTAGGACTGAGGAGAGAGCAGAGAGAGAGAGAGAGGGTTAGAGACTTTAGGAATGAGGAGAGAGCAGAGAGAGAGAGGGGGTTAGAGACTTTAGGAATGAGGAGAGAGCAGAGAGAGAGAGGGTTAGAGACTTTAGGAATGAGGAGAGAGCAGAGAGAGAGAGAGAGGGTTAGAGACTTTAGGAATGAGGAGAGAGCAGAGAGAGAGAGGGTTAGAGACTTTAGGACTGAGGAGAGAGCAGAGAGAGAGAGAGAGGGTTAGAGACTTTAGGAATGAGGAGAGAGCAGAGAGAGAGAGGGGGTTAGAGACTTTAGGAATGAGGAGAGAGCAGAGAGAGAGAGGGTTAGAGACTTTAGGAATGAGGAGAGAGCAGAGAGAGAGAGAGAGGGTTAGAGACTTTAGGAATGAGGAGAGAGCAGAGAGAGAGAGAGGGTTAGAGACTTTAGGACTGAGGAGAGAGCAGAGAGAGAGAGGGTTAGAGACTTTAGGACTGAGGAGAGAGCAGAGAGAGAGAGAGGGTTAGAGACTTTAGGACTGAGGAGAGAGCAGAGAGAGAGAGGGTTAGAGACTTTAGGACTGAGGAGAGAGCAGAGAGAGAGAGGGTTAGAGACTTTAGGACTGAGGAGAGAGCAGAGAGAGATGGATGGTTAGTCAGTGAATAATAAATATTGTGTTGATAAAATTAACTTGTGTGAAATGATAACATGCCATACTGTTGGCACCACACTGACATTAAAGTGTAATGTCCACTAGAGGGCCACAAAATACTTTTTATGTCTGATTTAAAACAACCACATCTGAAAAATAGTTTTGGATCCCTTCACATGTGTTAATGTCAGAAGTGTTTATCTAATCTTTCTAGAATCATCAGAATGCTCTGCCACAATACTGATAATAGTGAAAAGCAATGATCCCCAATCCCCACATTCGAATCACCCGGAAAGAAAAAAAATATTTCTGCATCTATTCTCTTGTTTTGAAAAATGGCCGGTACATAGGGGAGGTGCAGAGGTCAGAGGGTGTGGTACCTGTGGAAGCGGGCCGCCTGCTGCTGGTTGGTGCTGGACTGAGAGCCGTCCTCCTCGTCTGCGTCTGTCTCACTGTCCTCAGACTCGTCCTGTGGGACACAGCCATTATTGCATATTTACACCCATGTTCTCCCCATAGACTGTATACAGACGGACAACGCTAACCAGCTAGCTCAATACAGGCCGATACGTGGGTGCTCGGGGACAAAGTTTTACCCCAACGCTCTCTGGCTCCTCTTGACTTCCAAGTAAACTCCTCTAGCTCAGCAACAGTTTGCGTCACACTAACCTTTTGGGGCTTAAATATCTGTTTTATCGCTCTCTGTGGTCCTGGTGTTTCTGATACCGTTTTTGTAAATCCAGATATGAGCCATATAAAGGATTGACAAATCAGAGGCCTTCATTAGCAGGGGAGACACCAAGTTGCCTTCGCAACATGTCTATACCTGTTAAGGCAGTGAGGCTATCGACATGAAACTAATGCCCATATAAGGACATAGGCTGCAGCTAGGGATGTAAAAAACTATGAATTTTTATGACCGACCACCGAGCCTCATTAACCGATTGAAACCGGTTAACCGCGTAGTTTAAAATAGTCCACGTTCTTTGACCTAAAGACCTTCTATGACTCTGTGGTGGCATCAGCCATCTTGTACAGTGTCACCCGCTGCAGGACACTCTCTGCTCTGGAGAGCAGTTTCAGTGACAGACTAATTCCGCCTTGCTGTGTGAAGGAGAGGTTCCGTAGGTCTTTCCTTCCTGCTGCTGTCAGACTGTACAATGAGAATGTGTAACAGGAACTGCTAATCAGTCACTGATAAATCACTAGTAACTTTGTCACTTGTCACTTTACCTGTTATCAGTACTACTGCATTATTACATATCTGATATTTACTGTTATCAGTACTACTGCATTATTACATATCTGATATTTCTGCCTTTCACCGTCACTTTACCTGTTGATATTTTACTGTATTACATATCCATCTGATAATTCTCCCATTCAAGTCACTTTACCTGTTGATATTATTTCTGATGTTTATTCTGCTCATACTCTCCGTGGCTAATGTATAATATAGACATCTGTAAATACTTCTGAACCAAGTGCAATTATAGCCAAGAGTTTCTCATTTTATTTTTATCTTAATTTTATTGTCTATTATCTTAAATAATAGACTTATTTGATGTGTGCAATCTGAGTGCTCTTTATTTCCTCCCTCTGCTGTACTGTGCGCAACGATGACACTGAAATTTCTCCACTGTGAGACTAATAAAGGTTTACCTTATCTTATTTAGATAAGATAACAGCCATTTCGAGCCACGTACTTTCCATAAGAGCAGCTCTACGTTCTACTGGATCAGAGCCGAGACAGCGGCGCCAAAACCCGCAACAGCTTCGGCACCTTTGCGCACAGAGAACTGCTGTTTTAATCTTCCCATTCTGCTGTGCTGCAGTTAAAGCATTTTCAAGCAAAAGACGGCTCTCGTCCACATGGTCAGAGCAGCGAGTGACGCGCCGCGTCTCACAGATCTCCGCTAAAGTTTAAAAGTGATGTGTGTGGAGCTGATCTAATGACAAGGACCAGCAGCACAAACATGTTTCATGTGGTTTGACTGGAGCCGCGTATTTGCGAGGATCCTTTGGGCTCCGTATCACAGCGGAGCGCGACAGACCGGTATGTGTGTACATGTGTGTGTATGTACAGTGCATTGCGAAAGTATTCCTTTCAACATTTTGAAAGGAACAACATTTTCGCCACATTTCAGGCTTCAAACAAAGATATAAAATTTAAATTTTTTGTCATGAATCAACAACAAGTGGGACACAATCGTGAAGTGGAATGAAATTTGTTGGATAATTTAAACTTTTGTAACAAATAAAAAACTGAAAAGTGGGGCGTGCAATATTATTCGGCCCCTTTACTTTCAGTGCAGCAAACTCACTCCAGAAGTTCAGTGAGGATCTTTGAATGATCCAATGTTGTCCTAAATGACTGATGATGATAAATAGAATGCACCTGTGTGTAATCAAGTCTCCGTATAAATGCACCTGCTCTTTGATAGTCTCAGGGTTCTGTTTAAAGCGCAGAGAGAACCATGAAGACAAAGGAACACACCAGGCAGGTCCGAGATACTGTTGTGCAGAAGTTTAAAGCCGGATTTGGATACAAAAAGATTTCCCAAGCTTTAAACATCTCAAGGAGCACTGTGCAAGCAATTATATTGAAATGGAATGAGTATCAGACCACTGCAAATCCACCAATACTGGGCCGTCCCTCCAAACTTTCATCTCAAACAAGGAGAAGACTGATCAGAGATGCAGCCAAGAGGCCCATGATCACTCTGGATGAACTGCAGATAACTACAGCTGAGGTGGGGATGGTGCGTTCAGGGTGATGAGCCGTGTTGCTTTTATGCCAAACATTTCGTTTTGCATTGTGGCCAAAAAGTTTGATTTTGGTTTCATCTGACCAGAGCACCTTCTTCCACATGTTTGGTGTGTCTCCCAGGTGGCTTGTGGCAAACTTTAAGATACTTTTATTGGATATCTTTGAGAAATGGCCACTCTTCCATAAAGGCCAGATTTGTGCAGTGCACGACTGATTGTTGTCCTATGGACAGACTCTCCCACCTCAGCTGTAGTTATCTGCAGTTCATCCAGAGCGATCATGGGCCTCTTGGCTGCATCTCTGATCAGTCTTCTCCTTGTTTGAGATGAAAGTTTGGAGGGACGGGTCTTGGTAGATTTGCAGTGGTCTGATACTCCTTCCATTTCAATATAATTGCTTGCACAGTGCTCCTTGAGATGTTTAAAGCGTGGGAAATATTTTTGTATCCAAATCCGGCTTTAAACTTCTCCACAACAGTATCTCGGACCTGCCTGGTGTGTTCCTTTGTCTTCATGGTTCTCTCTGCGCTTTAAACAGAACCCTGAGACTATCAAAGAGCAGGTGCATTTATACGGAGACTTGATTACACACAGGTGCATTCTATTTATCATCATCAGTCATTTAGGACAACATTGGATCATTCAAAGATCCTCACTGAACTTCTGGAGGGAGTTTACTGCACTGAAAGTAAAGGGGCCGAATAATATTGCACACCCCATTTTTCAGTTTTTTATTTTTTTTTAAAGTTTAAATTATCCAATAAATTTCGTTCCACTTCACGATTGTGTCCCACTTGTTGTTGATTAATGACAAAAAATTAAAATGTTATATCTTTGTTTGAAGCCTGAAATGTGGCGAAATGTTGAAAGGTTCAAGGGGGCCGAATACTTTCGCAAGGCACTGTATGTGTGCATGTGTAAATGTAAACTCCAATGTAGTTCTGACCTGCAGCAGTGTGCAACTAGCAGGCGGTAACAGAGGGGAGAGATGATGCGTGTTTCTGTGCGCATGTGCATGTGTGCATGCATATATGGCGCGTACGGCGCACACAGCTAGATACGGACCCGCTCGTCACATCGTGCGAATAGGGCTTATAATAGCCTCCCCTCTCCCCTTTTTCTCCTTTTTAACCGACAGCTTTGACCGGTTAACGCTGTGACGGTCAACCACCGGTTAAACGGTCACCGATTTACATCCCTAGCTGCAGCTAGCTATTTTTTCTTCCGCACTAAGGCTAACACTATGGTGATGTCACACGCAGTCAGTCCAGTCCTAATACACAGTCTATGGTTGAGACTCACCTCTGGTTCCGACTCGGTTCCTGATAACTTCTTGTCTTTGCCTTTGACTCCTGCTCCTCCGTTCTTGCGGCCAGTGCCAGGTTTTCGACCCCTGGGAACAAAGACTTAACTCTGAGTATGTTTCTTTTCAGGCCTGACTTTCAAACCACTACAATGAAACCATGTAAAACATAAATAAGAATGTCATGAACATTTCAGTTACCTGCGTGGGAGCTTCTCTGGGGCGCCGTCTGTGTGGTTGTCCTCTCCGTCTCCCTGCATGTCCGGGACCGTGGCGACCAGGTCTTTGAGGAAGTCGAACTGCTGCTCCAGCTCGATGCACTGCTTTCTGTGCACAGGCAAGGCAAGTTTTTTTGTATAGCACAGTTCATACACAAGGCAACTCAAAGTGCTTAACAAGACAAGATATATACAATCACACAATCATAATAATACATGCTTTACAATGCTTTTCAGGACACTCAACTTCTCTTCACGTTTCATTATTATTTCACTCCAAACACAGTGGTCATAAATTACTACTGTAGCCACAGCGAGGCAACCAGTCTGTGCCATTGGCCCTCCCACCACCACCGTTCTATTCACACACACCCACACACAGACACTACTGTGGGTGAAGTGTCTTGCCTAAGGACTAGGGGTGGGCGATATGGCCTAAAATTCATATCGCGGTATGATTTGGGTCACAGACGGTAGACGGTATACATCACGGTATAATTTGGTGTGTGAATTTCAATATAGGTTTAGCAGGTTCTTGCATAAAATAGTCAAGATTGTTACTTATCTATACATTAGAATCTGATATATATTTTTTGAGTTTGAAAATCAGGTGAGAGACAAATGCTGTAACATACATTATTTATGTATGTTACAGTAAAGACCATTAACTGTGAAAGCAATTTTAAATAATATAAAAATATAAAATATATTATATAATATCTGTAGCAGTTAGACATGGTCATTATTTATAGTGTCAGAGTTTAGTGCGTATGCATGGCTTCAGTAAAAGCTATTGTTCGTTTACAAAGCTAGTCTTGCCATTTGTTGACGCTCCCTAAGCGCTTGCTGTGAACTGGATGATTCAATGGATTTATCTGCATTAAAAACAGCGCATTTGATTTGAACAATTGATGTAAATGCTCATTTTGGCACAATTAATTTTGTTTAACAAAGTAGCTTTCGTGATCTATTGACCGCGGAAGTCTGAATCGGACGCTAACTTTACAAAACTTCTGAGATGATGCGGACACGGCACAAGCATGGATCTATCTCGGCTCACGATGGCGCTTCGAGCCTACGCCCCTTTGACACTCATTGGCCGAAAGGTAGACATGTAAACTGTGATTGCTGTGTGTGTATTTACCTCTGCTGGGGCCGCTGTGACCAATACAGAGACAGAAACACGGTGTGAAAGCCGTGCTGTTGTTTCCAGTGGTGTCTGCTAGGCTAATAGTGCTAGGCTAATGCTGCTGAATGCCGGTTTGTTTTGGTCCTTTCTGCTGGCGTCAGAGCCTGCACAATTTGATGACATAATGACCTATCGCAATATGCCGGTATAACAAAAATCTCTACCGTGGGCCAAATTTATACCGCATACCGCTTATACCGTTTATACCGCCCAGTCCTACTAAGGACACAACAGTTTGGCACTTTACAGCTGCCCCACTGTGGCACCTGAAGTTTCCAGAGGTCTCATCACAGCACTAACCAGGACCTGCCCTGCTTAGCTTCAGCAGTCTGACACAATCTGGCTTTCACCTGCTGGTGGCGCTTCATGCAATAACATCATGAATAATCACATTGCAATAATTAAGGTAAAGATACAATCCTTCAGCTGTTGCAGAAACAGAACTGTTTTATTATTATTTGAACATTGTCAGAGAAGAAGTCTGTCTCACATTTTCAGGAAGACTTGCGTTACATCATAATATGAATCCCACGGTAAAATTGAAGTACACATGACTCCAGGACAGACCCCAGAGGGAGAGGGGAGACTTACAGGTGCGATGTGGTCATGGTCTTGGCGTTCCTGGACTGGGTGACATGGCACGCCTTTGTGAGCAGCGAGTCTAGGAAGAGCTCCAGAGCTCTTGCTAAAATTAGAGTTAAAGAAAAACCTGGACAAGAGTTTGGAACATGTTTGGCAAATAAAACATAAAAAGGTAATGGGGAATATAGGCAGCATGAAGGATACAGATGATGACTGGTACAGCCGCCGCCACTTTGCCTATTTCCTCGTCCGTCTGCATTATCTTCTTAATCCTTGCCTGAAACAACAAAAATGTACATTATCCACGCGTTTCAGATGTGGTGTATGTTGAACAGATAAGGAATCAAGATAGGTCTCTGCAAACCTTTATTACAAGCCTTCTAAAAGTTTACGATTCTTAAACATTCGTGGCATAAAGAGCATGAGTGAAACTAAAGATATAAATGATATTAGCTTTGTTTTATAAATAGTACTTGTGTTATTACAAAGAACAGCGGAACTAGGGTTAGGTCTAGAGCCTGGTAATAACTTATAAATGAACTATTTCTAACTAAGAGTTAAAACAAGTAACAGAGACACATAACACACAGTCATTACGTTTGTAGACAAGATCAGATTTGAGACACAAAGAGCCCACAAAGTCGGATAAAACAAAAAGTTAGTAAACCAGGACCATTATGTTTTAGATATAGTCAAGGTCACCAAGTTTTAGGACCACATTTATACATGCACTGAGTGATTACTGTTTCTGTTCCAAAACAAAAAGCTGTAACATTGATTGCTCAGGGAGATCTGGTGTTGAATTGCTTTGAACGTGCTTTTCCTACATGTAAATGTGTTACGGCGCGTTCAGACCGGACTTAACTTCGACTTCAAAAGCATCAGGTTTGAATTGAAAGTGAATGGTGAAGTGCGTCAGGTGAAGCAGAGAGCCCTGGCGTCACTTGGCGAGCGTCAAAAGCTTTTGACGTCTGAACGCCTGAACCTTTAAGGCGCGTTCAGACCAAAAGCTTCAAAAAACTTTTGACGCGCTTCAACTGACGCCGGGTTATTTTTGTCATTTTGATGCTTGAAGCTTTTGACGCGAGTGACGCGCCTGACGTCGGTGGGAGGAGCTTCTCTGTTGCAGGACAGCGGTGGATTTCCAGAGAGCAGCAAGCCTTTATTTGTTATATAAAGCCAAATAATGTTGTCGTGGGGTTTCTACAAAACATGTTCTGGGTTCACCACAGACTTGAGAGGCTGCAGTGTTTGCAGAGTGTTGTCATTTACTCCAGGAGCTCCGTACGGAAAAATATCGCTTTCGGCGGTACTTCCGCATGTCACTCGCCCAGTCTGAGTTCCCAAACCCCGGAGCTCGCCTCTCCCCGCCTCGCTCTCGCCTCTCCCTGCCTCTCCCTGGCTCTTGCTCGCCTCTCCCCGCCTGGAGCTCTCCTCTGCCCGCCTGGAGCTGGCGAGCGAGACTCATCGTCCGCTTGTTCTTATATTAAATAAATTACGTTTTCTACACAGCATGTGTACAATGATTGTTGTTACTCACTTATTAGGAATGTTACTACTCATACAAATAATATTACTAAGAACAATAATGACAATAAAACAGGACTTCTCTCCATGACAGAGACAGACCCACAGCTGCTGCTGCTGCAGCTCCTCGTCTCCTGATTGGTTGAAGCCATAGAGTAACGGACAGAGTCACGCCTATCTCCGCCGTTCTAACTAATGGGCCAAAAAATGTGCTCTACTGGAGCTATCCAAAATGGCAGCGAGTGGTCCCGCCCACAAGAAAATTGTGAAAAAACGCATCTGCGCATGCGTCAGCCGGCGCAGCTCCATTCATTTGAACGAGAGACTTTAAAAATTCATTGCAAGTAAACTAGAATGGACCAAAAAAATTCACCCCCTCAGCATTGACACACATGTGTAACGGAGCTTTGGGCCGAGAGCCAACTTTTGGTCCATCCTGTAAAGACGTTTTCGAGAGGTCTGCTAATGCTATATGTTAGCATTGGCTAATTCTTCTTCTGGGTCCAGCCCCATCGGCCCGGGGTGCTATTGCAAGCATGTCAGCGCACGTCATTTTGGCCACTTTTGAGCTGAGACCCGCCCCCACTGGTTGAAGCCCGTGTCAAAGCTTCAAAAGCTCAGCTTTGCTCAGCTTCGGCGTCAAAGGGATTGTTTTGATACGCGAGCGTTACGCGCGTCAACAGCTTCAAGTGAGCGCGTACTACTCGCGACCTTTGAAGCTTTTGACGCACACCAAGTGACGCCGGGGCTCTCGGCTTCACCTGACGCGCTTCACCATTCATTTTCAATGCAAACCTGACGCTTTTGAAGTCGAAGTTAAGTCCGGTCTGAACGCGCCTTTAGAGCTTATTTGAATCTGTGATCCCATTGGCGAGGCACTTTTATTACATTTCGCAGGTTAATGTCAAGACAGACAAAAATACATTCACAAATGACAATGAGAAATTATAGTGAGAAAGCTGCATTAGAAACCGTGTCCAATGTATGCATGGAATACACAGGTCTGAAGAGGTTAGCCATGCTTTTAAGTGACTACAGTCATTGCAGTTAGCTGTGCTTCCACAGTATGTTTAGGAGAGGTCACAAAAACATACTGCTGATATATTAGGGCTGTCAAAATTATAGCGTTAACTCACGTTAATTAATTTTTTCAATAACTCGTAAAAAAATAAATAACGCATGTCCGAATTACCCGCCCATGTATAATAATAATATCACTCAGAATGCCGCAGACAAATGCGTGTGTGAGATGGCAACAGAGCAGGTAGGCCCTCTGGGAATTAAAATTTTATAAGAATACGCGCGTGACCGCGGGGCTGTTTACTATGAACTGAAGTCCGCCTCCCGGGGCACAACCCAGGGGCAGCTGCGGCCGCTCTGGTTGTTTTTATAAAAACGACACGGCGAATGGCTCCGCGGTTAGACCATACACTCCACAGGACTATTCTCTGCATATTGTGTGCGTGTCTTTGCAACCTGTGCATGACCTGTGCACGCAAATACACCGCGGAAGTGTCAGTGTCTCCTCCTGAAATTAAACTCGCTAAATTAAAGCTGGGGTACGTACATTTTCCCCTTTCAATGACAGCTCATGTTGGTTGTGCCCAAAAGTAAAAGGTTGTGAGCAAATCAAACAGATTTAAGTACATTTGGTATGACTGACAATGTGTCATTACATTTGATAATCTCATTTAACTTCAATTGGAGTGGATTTGAAATAGAATGTTAAAAATGCGATGAACTCACCCTTACTATGCTGATTAATCAACTAAAAAAATGTAATCGTTTGACAGCCCTAGCTGTTAATTATTTATTTTATATATATATATATATATATATATATATATATATATATATATATATATATATATATATAATATATATATATATATATAAATAAACACACACGAACAAAAGATCAGATACATTATTATTGATTTCACACAGGTGAAAATTACATGTCACATATGGCATGGATAGAATCATGCTCCTTCTTGCACTGAGGCACCCTCAGTGCAAGAAGGAGCTATACTTGAGAACACAGAAACACATACAACGTTTTGCTTTGCTTATTCTTGTTGGGAGAATGACTTCAATACTTACTAAGTTGTTTTATAAAAGTATCTGTAGTTTTTCTTATTTAAGCTATGTTCTTGCGAGAAGTATTTTTATTGCGGTCTTTACGACGTGCTAATTGAGGTTAATCGTAGTGTAATCATCAATTATTTGTCAGTGTCATCTGTCATGTACTTCCACTCAGACGTGACTCGTCTGTGCTACATCAGAGCCGTTATAAACAATCGCGTGGGGTTCAAATTATTTATTTAAAAAAGTGCAGCAGAGAACAGTTCTCGTTAGCATGAGGCTAAAAACAACGCTAGCTCAGTAGGCTAGTTAGCAGGTCCCCTCGCAGCAGATGGAAAACTAGAGCTATAAAAGCAGATAAAACGCTAAATCCACATGCTATAAGATTATTTACACATTTCTAACAAGCACACGCGTTCAAATGTCTTCGTTTTTGGACAACTTCCCTCGCACACCCCCGTTAGCTCTTAGCATTAGCATTAGCCCGAGTAACACTTACCGGGGGGAACCTGGCGTTGTATTTCTTCTTTTTGCTGGGCATGCTTGGGTTATCGAAGTTGCAAGTTGAATATATATAAAATTTAAATGTATCCAAACAGTATATTATTATCTATTTGTAATATGAGCCCGCTCTGCCAGTTAGCATTAGCAGCCCGGCTAGCGGTGGCTGTGCTAGCTGCTGCCTGGTCCCTGGTCACCGATTCCTGGTCCTACCTCCTGCTTACGCCCCCGGGTCATAGATCCATTGCCCCGGATTCAAACACACTTCAATGGGTCGGACTGTGTCGCATTTGAGCACTAAAACTATCCAAGCATTCACCCACAGTTTGTATTTATCCAACAGCTCCGTGCAAACTACACACGCCATTTACGACGAATTATTCCAAAACTAATATTTCTAGTTTATAAATTACTAATGAATCAGTTTTATACAGGGTTTTACTGGGCACTCAAAGACGCTTCACATGTCAGTATTCATTCACTCCAAACAGTGGTGAAAAACTACTTTTGAAGCCACAGCTGCCCTGGGGCACACTGGCAGAAGCGAGGCAACCAGAATGTGCCACCAGCCCAGATTCTTTCAAACACACCCCAGACTTATTGCAGGCAATGTGGGTGAAGTGTCAACAGCAGTTTGGCACTTTTACAGCCCTGGTGTTCCCAGAGGTCTGACAGGATCTGGACAAATCAGAAACTAGGAATTTGCTTTGGCTCGAGGTGCAAACAAGTTGTAAGAGTAAGATAGGTAAAGGCATGCAAACAAAATCTACATTGTATCTCTTAAACCACTAAATACACACAATATACATTTAGCAGTCCAGTAAAGTGCCACTAGTATAATGTGACAAAGTAAAGCATAAAATCCGAGAGCCAGCTCCAGCTTGTGGTCCCTAACGCGAGACTTATCCACACGAAGACAAAACGCTTATAATTTCAGAAACTTTTTCTGTAAACACGGAGTTAGCTCAGTAAATGTGTGCGTCCATATGAATGTACGCTGTGAAACTATGCCAGACCTGTTGGTGGCGCTGTGACGCAATGACGGGATCAAGCCCAAACTTCCGTGACGGGAACTGGGCATGCGCGGAATTTTGTAAACAGACAACATGGCGAGTGGGCGAGCTGGTACTACATTAGTATGGACGGACGATGAGGTTGAACTGTTGCTTCGGGTCACACTGGATTACAAAACCAACAAGCTACATTGTTGTTGTCATTATTTTCTGAGTGCGGCGCATGCGTGCTTTAACAAGAGGCGGGGCGATGACGCAAGCGTCTCAGATACATTGCGGAGAGGCAGTAACCACGGAGCGGCATATACGGAGTTTTGAAATCTTTCCACTCTGGGACCTAGTTTCAAAAATGTTCGTTTACACCCCCCCCAAAACGCCGGCCTCGTATGGACGATACACTGGATTGATAAAGTATTTTTGCGTTTAGGCCTGAGCTTGACTTCGTGTGGACAGGGCCTAAAAACCCGGGGGGACAGAGCCTTTTCTGTGGTCGGCCCTAAGCTCTGGAACGCTCTTCCCCTCCATGTCCGGACGGCCCCCACAGTAGAGTGTTTTAAGTCTCGTCTTAAGACCCACTTTTACTCTTTGGCTTTTAACACTGTGTGAGTTGTGTGGTCCTCTGTGTTTTTATTTTTCTATTTATGGTTTTAATCTGTTTTATATATTTTTATTCTTTTATACTTGGTGAAGCTAAGGATAAGTTGTTATTTATTTTATACTTTTTTGTGCAGCACTTTGGAAACGTAACTGTTGTTTAAATGTGCTATATAAATAAAGTGGATTGGATTGGATAAAATAACTCTTTCCTTTTCCTTTTTTCCTTTGGGAGCTCCTAATTATTTTGCTGCTGAAATTACAAGTTTTCCTGAGATCCACCAAATACATGATATGCAATACACTATTAAAACACAGAATGATAAAACACTAACAATAATAATAATAATTATAATCAATAACAAAAACAATACAAAGGATCAATAATTAAAAGCAATCTTTCTTACTTAATACAGCATATGTTTTAGTTAGTGAGTAATACATAACATTACAGTAATATCCAATGAATTCTGAATGGACTCCCAGAATTCTGACACTAAACTCCCAGAGTCTTCATTCCTACGGGGATCAATAAAGTATCTATCTATCTATTTTGACTGCCCCCATTCACACCAATGGAATTCTTTGGCATTTCCCTAAGAATGGTTTTGCTTTTAACCAGGTGTTTTACCCTTTATTCACTCTGAGTCACACGTTAGGAAGACCAAAATATGCCGAGTAATTACAGTTTCAACACCCGTTAAACCCGTCAAAATGACTACTCTGGGAGTCAAAACAGTCCAAAACCTGTCCCTGAAACACAATTGGTCCATACTACTGAGGAGGCGGGTTTAGTGTGGTTTTCCACCAATCACAGCGCACCTTCCCTTCCGCGGACCTATACTCTAGCTGCCTCTCTATCAGCGCTGCAACAAAACACAACACAAAAAATCCCTCATTTGGGATTTGTAAACTTAAAGTCGGTAAGAGATTTCATATATGTAAAATTCACGAGAAAGCCGCATCTGTCCCCTCGCATGGAACGTATTATTGTTACTGGTAATTCATTTATTTCGAGGACTTGTGATTTGGGTGATCGAGACGTGAGCTAGCTACACGGCTGGATAGCATCAAACCACAGACTAGCTTCTCAGTCTATGGTCGGAATGCGCGTAAAATAAATGGGGAAAAAGTAGCGTAATATGTAGTTTGTTTATATATAGCTATATGTTGATTGTTTCCTACGTAAGAAGTAACGTTGGGTCTGACGTTCAGGACAAAACTTCATAACATTGAATCGATATATTTATCGATTAATATATCGATATATCGATATATTGCGGGTTAATAACACGAATTTTAAAGCTGGGGTACCTATTTTTGTGTTTCATAGATGACACATAACTTTGGTTCCAACAGATAGGAAGCCTTGTAAAAGTAAAATGTTAAACAATTAATTTCACATCATAATGTCTTGATTATGTTAAATTACCATTATTGTTCCATATTAAAATGGCTATATGACGGACAATTTGAGGCGTTGGGTTGAGAGCTTGAACTTTTATTTCTGAAAAAGCTGATCCGTAGATGTGACAGAGGTTTAGAAAAGTACATGCATAAACTAGTGATAAACCTGACTAGTTCAAGGTTTTGTGTAATAAAAGTTGGTTACCTCAGCTTTAATCCCTGCCTCAGAGTAATACTTTTCTGTAACTGGTGATGCAAAACTTAAATTTCCCCACTGTGGAAATTAGCTGAGAGAAATTGGCTCTCGGTACAAATATGCTTTTGTATTAAACACTGGCTAATGACCACTTATGTCACTTTACTTCCTGTAGTCACTTTGTCCCAATCCCTTATTCTGCTAACATGAGAGAACCGTTATTGATCCTTTACTGGGGCAATACATGCAGTTATATTTATTAGCTAGCTGTAGAGCACTAGAAAATATGGTATTGTATACTTAGGCTAACGTCAGATAATTAATTTTAATATATTATAGAGTCATTGCTCACTTATCTTTGAGCTGTGTGATCCTCACTCCTATGATGAAGAAATAATCTCCTCTTAATCTTAATACACTCAATGGTTGATTGTTGGAACAAATGCATATTGAGAAATTGGCTCCAGTTTTTGTTCCAATTGGCTAACACTAGTGATGTCACACTCTTGTTACAGTCCACTCCTAAAATAGGCTCAATGCTTGATTGACAGGAGTTGGAATAAATGCTGATATAGAGGAATGGGCTTCAAGTTGGCTTATCCTCTGCATTAAAGCTATGGCTAACATACACTCTGTGGTTGATTGACAGGAGTTGCCGTGGGACACTGACCATGGAGGAGGCAGAGGGGCCCGTGGATGGGGAGGCCGACCCCCTGTACACCGCAGAGACCTACGCCGCGGAGGCCATGGCCGCGGATATGGACCCCTGGATTGTGTTCGACTCACGGCGCACCCCCAGGTCAGAGTTTGACGACTGGCTGGAGACTAACCGCCCCTCGCAGGTGCAGCGGCACGGGGACGCGGAGAGCGGGGTGAGTCCCGTGGGCTGGATCGCCGTGCTGGGGCCCACGCACTGCCCAAGCACGGGTGACGTCAGCGGCCTCCAGGAGAGCTGGGAGCGGCTCCAGGACAGCGGGAGGCCGATTAGCTTTGACACGATTAAGGAGCTTGCGCTAAACCATGGCGTGCTGACAGGGAAGTGGCTCATGCATCTGGATCCCGGGTTCAAGCTGGACCACGCCTGGAGCTGCGTTGCCAGGGCGACACTGGACGGGAAGATCTCGTTGGTCAAGGTGAGCCCGTTCAACGGCGACGCAGACTTTAAAAAGCAGGTGATCTGCGCGTACAACCACAACTTCACGGACGAGAGCGAGGTGGTGCGGCTGGATTCCATCATCCGCGCCACAGGTATCAAGTGTCCGCTGTCCTACAAGCCGGACGTCTACACTTACCTGGGCATCTACCGGAAGAACCGCTGGAAGCTCTGTCCCACCATATTCGAGAGCAAGTTCGACCTGGAGTGCGTGCCGCGGCGCTCGCACATTGTCAACAAGGTCACCAATATGGAAGTGGCTTAAATGTTTCGGTGTTGACAAAGACTTAAAAAAAACCCGTTGCTTTTTGTATCTAGAGTTCTTCCTTTTGCCAAACAGCACCTTCTTTTATTTGTGTGTTAAGCGATGCAAGATTTATTCTACAAGTTTGTACTAACAGAACAAAGAAAGACGTCTCGTCAAGTTATTCAAATGTGCTGGAGGATTCGTTGGCCCGGGTGGATTAGAAAAAATGCGAAATAAATCTTACTTTTGAAACTGTTCATCTTGTGCCATTCTGTGTTTTGTCATTTTCTTAGCAACATTGGTTTTGACAGGAATCCACTTGTAGAATCAGAGTGGTCATGTGATGTTCCTGTGTCTACTCAGCTGCTTTTAGTTTTTGGTTCTGTCGTTCTGTCACCAGAGGCAGGACAACTTCTTCAGAATAGAGTTCTAGGTGAGAGTAAAAAGAGGCCCCTATAAATAATAATAATAATACATCAGTTTTATATAGCGCTTTTCAAGGACTCAAAGACGCTTCACAAATTCATGACACAAACACACACGTTTAGACAGACACACAAACTAAAAATCTAAGAGTGAGGAAGAAGGGTAAAAAGTTTAAACTAAGAGTCAAATGCTCGGAGGAAAAGGTGAGTTTTGAGCTGTTTTTTGAAGGAGTTTAGAGAGTCCGAGTTTCTGAGATGGAGGGGGAGGGAGTTCCAGAGAGTGGGAGCAGAGATGGCGAAAGCTCGGTCCCCCAAGGTTCAGTGCTTGGATTTGACAGTGGGAGTGAGGAGATGTGAGTCTGCAGATCGGAGTCGGCGGGAGGGACTGTAGGGCTGAAGAAGTTCAGTGAGGTAAGGAGGGGCGAGGTTATGGAGGGCTTTGTAGGTGATGAGGATTTTGAAATGGATGCGCTGTTTAACGGGGAGCCAGTGGAGTTTTTTAAGGACAGGGGTGATGTGTTCTCTGGAGCGGGTCTGAGTGAGGAGGCGGGCGGCGGAGTTTTGGACATATTGTAGTTTTTGGAGATCAGATGAAGGAAGGCCATATAAAAGACTGTTGCAGAAATCGAGTCTGGAGGATATGAATGCATGGATCAGGGTTTCAGCAGCGGTGGAGGAAAGATATGGGCGAATATATAAACCTATAAAACCAGGATGAGGTGACAGCTGTGTCTAGCTGAAGTAGAAACAATGGATAAAATGTGGAAAGGGAAAAAAAGCTTTGAAGAGGGGAAGAGAAAGGGTGAACGAGGGTAGACTGGGTAAAGGAGAGAAGAGGATAGAGAACAGACAAGGAGAGTAAAGGAGAGAGGGCAGAATCTCAGGTGTGAGAAAGTAAGGGAAAAAAACCTTATTTCTCACACGTGGGATTCTGCACTGAAGTTGGACAGCAGATGGCGCTGTTGTCCCGCCTCTGAGGAAGACTCCAGACTTTGATACATTAAATATTCTGTTCTTCAAAAAATAATCCACCTCTAGAACATTGTTTTTTTCACTTATGTAGAATACTTGATAGAAAGGGGTAATGCTAATCATAAAAAGAAAATAAATATCACAAGTTTGTAGTTTGTTCCAAAACCAACTTTAATGTGTGAATAATATGTACATAGTAACTTCATTGTATTTCTTTACAAAGTGGACTCAATCAGTCTTTTAAAATCTTCCAAACCGTTAGAGCCATGACTCGCATACTGTAGCTATATACAGTCTTTCGAAGTGGAATCGGGACAGTTTTGCCGTCTCAGCCTGTTTTATGAAGATATTAACACTGTCCCAAGTTATAAAAATATATAAAATGATACAGGATCAGAAGAAGAGAAAATGTTTGTGACTGAGCATGCAGGGCACTGAGGAAAGAACGTTCACAACAAAAATCAGCAAACAATAAAAAACCCAACAATGAAACGGCGTATTCGAAGTAATGACACAATATTCTCATGCAAACTCGTCATAGGGTTTGCATTTTTAACAGATTTACAAAAATATGCTTTTGTAAAATATGTCTTGATTGTTTGTGCAACATTTATCAATTTAGCTTTTAAAATTTTGAAAAAGAAAAAAAGCTTGGCAATCGGAGTATGAATCCGGAGAACGCAGGCGACGCTAGTTGTGCTAACAATTGTAGCACACAAAGCTTAAGCAGCAAAAAATGGAAAAAAAACGGGCCAACCAAAGCCCCGTTTCCACCAGCCCAACTTTGCTCTACTCTACCTTAACTGTGATTGGCCAGAATGCTGCTGAATTTTCCCTGGATACTGGTTCATTGTGGAGAGGTTCCTAGGATACGATACCAGATGCTAAAGTGTAATGGAAATGCAATGAAGAGAGTTTTTTAATCACAGAGCAGTCACAGTCCTGAACTCCCACTCACATTAAAGTACATCTAACGTGCTTTAACTAATATAATAACGTATATTCTATCAATAGCTTTGTACAGTCTCACATATATGCATAATAAATTGATCTGTGTTGTAAATATTATCCTATACTTATGTTATTGCTCTGCTGCTAATAGTTTAGATGCCCAAGGAGCGTAGAGAAGAGAAAGGCCAGGTAGAGTAGGGCCTGGCCGGGCTGGTGGAAACAGCTCCATATCCATGTCAATTGTCTGCAGTGGTTTGCTACATGTTTGAACATAGTTCATAGTGAGTCCAACATTGTCTTTGCTTCACAGACGCCTTCCTAACTGTCAGTGAGTATTGAAATAAATCTCTCGTCGTCTGTAGACATGAACTGAACCTCAAAGTCCGGCATCTCCTGGTGCTGCCCACCGTTGTTGCCCGCACCCAAATTGTCAATCATACTCTCGTTGTTGAGCAAGTCCGCTATGCTGGTGGGGTACTCCATCCACGTGCTCCCCGGGTTCCCCTCCACAACTGCGGCTGCGCTCTGGTGAACATTAGCTGCGCTAGCTCCGTCGCGACACCCCGGCTGGCTGATTGCTGGGTTCACCAGGTCCACAAAGTCATCCATGTTCAGGCTCTCCAGCGTCCCGCCGTCCTGCGCGTCGGAGAAACTGGGGAAGTCGTCGTAGTCGATAGTGTGGTCCACGTGGTAGTGCGAGCTCGGCATCACGGTGGCGGAGGAGGAGGTGGCAGTGGAGGAGGTGGGGACAGGCTGAGGGGGCGGAGTCTCCAGCCCAATGGCGGAGCCGAAGCTGGGGAAGAACTCGTGGAGGTCGGACAGGTTGACGGTGGAATAGTCCTGGTTGTTGCCGGTACTGGAGGCCTGTGTGTGGGTTTGGGTGAAGCTTGGACGAGGGTTGGTTTTGGGGTGAGGTCCGAGGGTCAGGCCTTCGATGGTCTTCCAGGGCTGGGAGGAGGAAGAGCAGGAGGTTGGCTCGGCTTTGGGCAGGTGGGAGAACTGCTGGGTGGACTGGGAGTAGAGGTAGGCGGGCTGTTGCCGGGCAGACGCGGCGGCAGAGGCCGTCACCACTGATGGAGACAAGAAGAAAAACACATCTTTAGTCTTTGGCTTTGTCACATCCACATCTCAAAAGCACAATAGTCAGAAGTCAGAAGAATCTTTTGTGTCTTGTGTGTGCACCACCGTGAGACAGGGGGGGGTCTCCCTCTGTTCTCGCTCTCCCTCTGTTCTCGCTCTCCCTCTGTTCTCGCTCTCCCTCTGTTCTCGCTCTCCCTCTGGTCTCGCTCTCCCTCTGGTCTCGCTCTCTCCCTCTGGTCTCGCTCTCTCCTTCTGGTCTCGCTCTCTCCCTCTGGTCTCGCTCTCTCCCTCTGGTCTCGCTCTCTCCCTCTGGTCTCGCTCTCTCCCTCTGGTCTCGCTCTCTCCCTCTGGTCTCGCTCTCTCCCTCTGGTCTCGCTCTCTCCCTCTGGTCTCGCTCTCTCGCTCTCTCCCTCTGTTCTCGCTCTCTCCCTCTGGTCTCGCTCTCTCCCTCTGGTCTCTCTCTCTCCCTCTGGTCTCTCTCTCTCCCTCTGGTCTCTCTCTCTGGTGATGATACTTCTAAACACTTTGTGAGGTCTAACATTCCTAAATCCTCTGGCTCTGACCTGGCTGTGGGTTCATTGGTGGTGGTTTGGTGTTCACTGTTCTCCTGGGTACAATCTGCCTCCTCTCTGGGGGGAGGCTCACTGCGATCCAAGACAAGACAGAAAAAGTCATAAAGCGCAAAAGTGATACACAAGCAGTAATTACACTTCCATTGCTAAAAGCCGTCAAATCGACTGCTCTGGAGGTCTAGTCTTAAAACGTGTATCAAAGAGGAACTGACCTGAGGACAGAGAGGAGCCCAGTTTCAGACTCTGGAAGATGTCGGCCGTGCACTTCCTCTTCACGTTCAGCCTGAACTCGTCTGCGCAAAACACACCACAAACACACCACAAACACACAACAAACACACAACAAACGCACAGCAAACACATGAATGTTTCAGTCTTTGTTCTTCGTAACAACATCAATCTAATACAAACATAGCCACTTCCTGTCATGTCTCACTTCACTGCAAAAAGTGATACAAAATAAGTTAAAATGGCTCAAAGTTGGCAAAATGTAATTTGAGCACATTCTGACTGAGCCTTAAAACAATGGGACAAAGCAAAATTATGTGTTTTAAAAAGATACAAGAAACTTCTCACTTGGAATGAGAAAATAAAGCAACAGTTCTTGAAGAAAGACTAAATGACTTTGCCCCATTGGAAAATCTTGTCAGAATAAAATAAGATAGACTTTATTGATCTCACACGGGAGAAATTTAAAATGTGCTCAGATCAAGACAAAAAAACACTTGATTCAAGCATTTTTTGCAGTGGAGCGTTTATATGATGTTGGATTAAAACAGTTCTTAATAAGCTTGTCGTGGATTTTAAAACAGTTCATATACGTTTATTCTCTGTAGGATTTTGTTTGACCAGGGCAGATTTATTTGTGAATAAATTTTGTTTCACTTCAATCTTGATTTGTCTTTGATTTAAACAAAAATAACATGGGATCCAGCTTTATTTTGGTGTATACGTTGTTAGCCTTGATGTGGTGTATAAGGTGTTCCTTATATGGGCATTTGAGGGGATTCCCTGGGGTTAGCTTTGCGGCGTAAAAGGGGCGGAGGTGTTGCTAAAATGGTTGCAAACAAACGCTGGAGTTTCCTCCGTTAATGAAGGCATCTGATTGGTCAATCCTTTATGGCTCGTATCTGGATTAACAAAGATTATTGTTATTTAACTATAAACACCAGGATCAGAGAGAGCACCAAACTAGGGATTCTTAAAGCTAAAAACCGGTTACTGAGCTAGAAGAGTTTACTTTAACATGTAAGTCAATGGGAGTCATAACCCGTAAGCCCTTCCCTATTGGGCTACATTGAGCTTGCGGGTTAGCATTGTCCACCATTATACAGGCCATGGTAAGGATACAGTATTTAAGAGAGCGTCTGGGGCTGACCTGGGTCCTGGGGCAGGTACTGGAAGTCCATGGGCTCGCTGACCTCCTTGTCGGACGGCCTCCGCAGCTGCATCTTGACGCTGACGGGTTTCGAGAGGTTGCCGTCGTGGAAGGGCGGGGTGCGGAACACGATGGCCACCTGTCTGTGCACGTCGGCCTGGGAGAACGTGCCCTTTCCCTCCCACGCGTCCTGGAAGAATCGCACCTCGATGTCCTCTGAGGGGGGAGAGAAAGAGAGAAGGGAGAGAGAAAGAAGGGAGAGAGACAGAATGGAGAGAAGAAAGAAGAGAGAGACGGGCTTATCACTCAACTCAACCATGTCATTGACTGATTCAGATTCAGTTTATTAGAGTACGATGTTGTTTAAATATGCTAAATTATTTTGATATACCCAAGCCAAAATGAAATGCAAAAACTGTGTTGACTTGTTAACAGTCAGTAACATACACTTGTAATACTCTGTTGAACCATTAGAGGGCGCCAGTTCGAACGCAACTCCCATCTGCATCTGAGAGGAAAAAGCTCAAGTCTAATCTCAAAGTCAGAACATTATTCATTTATTTTTTTCCTATTGCCGCTTTTGTCTCTCTCTCTCTCTGTAAAAGGATAGGCCTCATAAACACTGAAGGGTAAATCCGAGCCTGGTCTCTCGCTCTCTGGTCTCTCGCTCTCTGGTCTCTCGCTCTCTGGTCTCTCGCTCTCTGGTCTCTCGCTCTCTGGTCTCTCGCTCTCTGGTCTCTCGCTCTCTGGTCTCTCGCTCTCTGGTCTCTCGCTCTCTGGTCTCTCGCTCTCTGGTCTCTCGCTCTCTGGTCTCTCGCTCTCTGGTCTCTCGCTCTCTGGTCTCTCGCTCTCTGGTCTCTCGCTCTCTGGTCTCTCGCTCTCTGGTCTCTCGCTCTCTGGTCTCTCGCTCTCTGGTCTCTCGCTCTCTGGTCTCTCGCTCTCTGGTCTCTCGCTCTCTGGTCTCTCACTCTCTGGTCTCTCACTCTCTGGTCTCTCACTCTCTGGTCTCTCACTCTCTGGTCTCTCTCTCTGGTCTCTGTATGTAAAAGGATAGGCCTCATAAACACTGCAGGGTAAATCCGAGCCTGGTTTCTGTCGGCTCAACAACAAAACCTTTTCTTTCAGAGGCAAAGTGTGTCACAACAGTCACACAACACAGTCCTCTCGGGAGTCTTCTCACCGCACAAAAGCAAACCAGGCTGAAGGAGCAGAAACACCACACAATATCAACACAACTTCACCAAAACAACACACGAGAGAGAGCACCGTGGGAGGGTTTAGTTCATGTACGAAGCAGCACGGGAAGGTTGCCTCAGTTTAGAAGTCGTTAAAAAACGTATAATAACTTCTATACGATCGTTATTAGTCTTCTCAAATTAGTGCTAAAGTAACTCGGTTATCTTTCATCAGGCTGAATGTTATTTTTTTAATCATAGAAACTAAATTTTTGCTTGATGAAGGCATAACGCCGAAACGTCGCACTTCTAATACATTATTTTTCAATTTGCAAGTAAGACAGTGTGCTATACAGGCCTCTCCTCCGACGCACCCTGGTCTCCAAATAAAGCTGTAAAACATTCAAAACACTGCAGCTCCAGTCCTGGCTAGAACCAGGAAGTACCATCACATTAGTCCTGGTCTCAGGTCACTGTCCCGAAGTCCTCTCATATTAGTCCTGGTCTCAGGTCTGTGCTTCCTGTGGCTCAGAGACTAGACTTTAAAGCAGCAAATGTCTCCATGGCCTCACATCAAAGTACATCTGTGACATGTTAGTGCCATATGATCCAACTCTGAGAAGCACAGGGACCGACCTCCTGCTGGGACTCTCATGGGAAGGCAGTGTTTCAAATTTCAGCTAAAATCTTCCTGAAAATGTGAGACCGGTTTCTTCTTTGACAATATTCAAATCCAGGTTAAAACAGTAAATATGCCTTGCCTGCATATTGATAGATCATAACCACACACACTCATTCCACCCACAGCTTTGGTAAAAGTCTTTTCTCTAAGAACTGACTTTCCTCTGAAGAGGCAGAGAAACCACCGTAGCTTTCAACTCCTCTTTGCTCCACAACGGAATCTGCTGTTTCTGATTCTCATTCAGACGCACGCACACAACGTCTAAATATATATGGAACGCACACATTACAGTTACAGACATATGGCTTCACCAGACCGGGTTGCGCTCAGTGTTGGAGCAAAGGTCAGACACATCCATTCAAAAATCTGTTCAGAAAAGTGTTTTAAGTAACTTCTTAGCCAACTACAGCTGCTACTATTGCTACTACTACTGCGACTACTGCTACTGCGACTACCACTGCTACTACCACTACTACTACTACTACTACTACTACTACTGCTGCTACTACCACTGCTACTACTACTACTGCTGCTGCTGCTACTACTGCTGCTACTGCTGCTACTACTACTACAACTACTGCTGTTGCTACTACTACTACTGCTACCACTAACACTATTGCTCATAATACTACTGCTACTGCTACTACTACTACTGCTGCTACTACTTCTACTGCTACTACCACGACACTCAGATCTATGTCTCACTGACTGCAGGAGAACATGGACCAGTGGACTCACTCCTTCACTGTATCCAACAGATCAGGGAGTGGATGCAAAATAACTTCCTTCAGCTAAACGCAGACAAAACTGAAATGATTGTCTTTGGTCCCCAGAAACAAAGAGAGAGCGTCATCTGTCACCTACAGTCTCTCTCCCTAAAACCTTCAAACAAGGTCAGAAATCTAGGGGTAATACTGGACTCAGACTTAAATTTTAATAGCCACATCAAATCAGTAACATCAGCAGCTTTTTACCATCTAAAAAACATTGCCAGGATCAAAAACATAGTGTCTAAAGCAGACCTGGAGATTCTTATCCATGCATTTGTCTCCAGTAGGTTAGACTACTGCAATGGCCTGCTCACAGGTCTGTCCAAACAGGCTGTAAAACAGCTGCAGTACATTCAAAATGCAGCAGCTCGAGTCCTGACTAGAACCAGGAAGTACGACCATATTAGTCCGGTCCTCAGGTCTCTGCACTGGCTTCCTGTGGCTCAGAGAATAGACTTTAAAACAGCTCTGCTTGTGTACAAGTCTCTCCATGGCCTCGCACCAAAATATATTAGTGACATGTTAGTCCCATATGAACCAGCCCGGACTCTGAGGAGCACAGGGACTGGACTCCTGTTAGTGCCCAGAGTCAGGACTAAACATGGGGAGGCTGCTTTTCAGATTCATGCTGCAAAAATCTGGAACAATCTTCCTGAAGATGTGAGACAGGCCTCCTCTCTGACAATGTTTAAAACCAGGTTAAAGACAGTTCTGTTTAGCTGTGCATACAACTGAGGGATTATACATATTTATCTTTTTGTTTAATGTCCTGTGATTATTTATGATTTTAATGCTTTCTTATTTTGTTAAGCACTTTGAGTTGCCTTCTGTATGAATTGTGCTATACCAATAAACTTGCCTTGCCTACTACTACTGCTACAACTACTACTGCTACTGCTAACGTACTGCTGCTACGTGTTGTACCTGGTTGTGATGTTCTATTTATCAGGATTTTGTTTAACTAAACTGACACTTACTTTTGATTGTATGGTACTAATGTATCTGGTGAGTAAAATGTTGTCATTCAGCCAACTTCAGCTCTGTCAAAGATAAACCAATAGACATACCTAATCTTAAAGCTCAGAACAGCTTTAATCCAGTTACCCCATGCTGTCAGCCCCCTGGTCTAAGGCTGAGTTTACACGGAGACAATGTGGCAGTAAAACAGTATAGTTGGATGTTGGTTGCTACCAACAGTTCATACGAAGACTGTGTTCCAGGGGGGTGAAAACGTAAGTGTTCAGATCCAGCCTGCAGAGTGGGACAACTCAGATACGCTGCACAGCGGGGGCTCTTTCATACCCGCGAGAGGGGAAAAGGTGTGAAATCCCCCTCTGCTCTGACCCCCGCCTCCGCGCTGCTCCCCGCACGTAAATTTGGACATGCGCAGTAGCGGAGAACAAACATCAACAACAATGGCGCAGCGCACACAAACTAGCTACGTGGGCTTTCAGCGCTGCACAGAGGATAATTCTACTCCTTCGTTCGTCCAAACAAGACCACGCGAAGCTCTAGGTTCAGTTTTCATTTTCACAGCTGCTGTTAAAATGCAGAATGATGTTGGTACGTTCTGAGGTTCTGGCACAGGAAGTGAGTATACTGCCGAGAGGGGGGCTGGGCACGGGGCTGGGGGTCGTGTGAGTGTTGTAAAGTTTATCTGCCCACTACTGGCCGGGCGCTAGAACTACATTGTTTTTCAACCTCATGTGAACGCAGAGAAATTTGCATTAGGAGCCAGGTCGTTTCTGTTAAGTCTGCGCAGCGTCTCAGTATAAACAGGGCCTAAGGACTGTGGACCATTACCGGTGTTTTTTGTTTTATTTCTTGTGTTTGATCTGTTTGATTCTTTGATCTGTGTTGGCGAATTCAGCGATTGAAAACTACGTTTGCAATTTAGGGCGACACAAGAATAGATTACGTTGAAAGCGGGCCCACTCTGGTCGTGTGCGGTGGTGTTGCGGTGTGGGGGGGCGGGCTCTATACTCACCCTTCTGCACCTTGTCGCACAGAAGGAAGATCTCGTCCCCTCCTTTACAGCTGCCAGAGTTGCGGTTGACTCTGCAGATTTTCAGCTCGGCAGTGTTCGGTGCTCCTGTGGAAGAGAGAGGAGGGGGGGTGACGGAAAGACACAAATATACACACACACACACACACAGAGGCGCACACACAGACACACATAGTAGGATGTGGTTGTGGTGGGAGCTGCAGAAAGTGACTGATCATGACTGTGGATCAGTTTATTAAAGCCTGATTAGGTTACAACAAACTGAGGAACTAGAACTCTACGTATATCTATAATGTATCTCCATCTTTACCTATCTTTAACTACCTATTAAAAAGTAATATTTTGCATTTGTTGCAAATAGGAATGTGGATAGTTCTCTACATGGTGTGTTGCTGGTGTGGTACATGGTAAGTTTGGCGTCTACATGATGTGTACATGGTGTCGTGTCTACATGGTTCATAGCTGGTGTGTTGCTGGTCCTCACGGTTGTCGTAGATGGGCTGAGACACCACTGGTTCCAGAGGGAACATGTCTCCTGACGACAGAGTGATGGAGGCCTGGAAACACAGGCGCACGGAGTTCAGGTCAAACTCCTCCTCCCACACTTTGGCTTCTGGAACTGAGGCAGGAGAGGGAGGGGGGGAGAGGCGAGAAATGCAATGCAAGTAATTAGTTAATTTTGTCACTACATACTAGACTCATCAACACTTCTGATCCACTTTTGATACTCTTCCTCTACTCTCAACAAATACAAGCCATCATCATCTGTTCTTTTCCTGCTACTTTTTCTTTGTTCTCCGCAGTTGTTTCCATCCCTGATACTTTCACCCACATGTGGGTGTTATGCCCCCCGTCCCCTCGCCTGCTTGGCGTTCACAGAATGCTTCCACCGCGGCCACACGGAGGTGAAGCAGCCGCTGTGCTGTGGCTGGCTGTGGACTATGGCGCGGACTCCTGTCAATAATTATGTCCGTGTCCTCTTCACTGGACACCTGCGTGTCTTTCTCCTCTAAATCTGAGTCAGTTAGTGCCTGTAGAGGTACTTTGGCAATGGTAAACCAAGTAAACTAGCTACCGTAAATGATGAAAACTCCGGTTCGCTCTGCTCTGGCTCCACTCAGCACTACTGCTATTACTACTCACCTTCGCGCCGCTGAGCTGGATATCGCACGCACCAATATCGCGATAACGATATTTTTTCGATATAACGTGCAGCCCTACTACATTAGTTAGTCAGCACCTGCATGCACACACATGTGAGAGAGACAGGCACACACACAGTGCAGACACACACACAGAGAAAGAGAGAGACACACACACATACAGAGAGAGAGAGAGACAAACACATACAGACCATTAAAGGGGTTGTTGCTGGTCTGCAGGCGACAGGTGATGGCCTCAACCACATCTTTCTTCTTCACACACTGGATCCCCAGGTTCTGGAAACTGAAGGTTGACTGTCAGACACCAGCACTGTGCAATACTGAGCAACACTGTACAATACTGAGAAATACTGTAATACTGAGCTATACTATACAATACTGAACAATACCGAGCACTAATGTACAATACTGTGCAATACTGTAATACTGTGCAAAACGGTAATGCTGTGCAATACTTTAATACTGTGCAGTACTGTAATACTGTAATACTGTGCAATACTGTGCAATACTGTATGTACTGTGTGTCCAAAGAAAATGATCCGCAGTTACTGTAAATATTTGACAGAAGCCACAAAGATTAGTTGCAGCGTGAGTGTTATGAAAACAGATATATTCAAATAAGCAAAGAGCAGAGAGTATTCAAAACAGGAGGGCGTTAGTGGGAAATACTGTCAAAACAATGATCACAGAAGAATGAACCTGCAGAGACGTGAACATGAAAGAACATAATACAAAACAAATCATCACATTTTGGGGCAAGAAGGAAATACTGTTTAAGAGTTTATTTTTACTGGGCTGGTGCTCTGTGTACTGGGTGCAGCTCTGACTGCCACCCCCCCGACCCAGAAATGGATTAAGGGGAAGAAAATGGATGGATGGATGGAGTTTATTTTTACATGCAAGTCAAAACTTCCTTATGGGTTTCATTGAGCTAGCATGTTAGCATCATCCATCTGATGTGTATACAGTCTATAGTGTGTTAGCATCATCCATCTGTATACAGTCTATAGCAGAGGTCTGGAACCTTTTTAGTTGAGAGAGCCAAAAAGTCTCAGATTTTAAACAGCATTTCTGTGGGAGCCACCAACTTTTTACTGTAGTATGTGTGAGGATTTAAAACATTATCAACACATTTAGAGAGTAATATTCATCACAGAATGTATTATTTTGTTTAATTAAATTTTTATACTGAAGGAATCCAATACATAAAACATTCTTGCTAATAATGCTGACAAAGATTTATCTGAGAGCTAGACATAATCATCAAAAGAGCCACAGCAGGAAGGATGTGTTATCATCTGTATACTATCGCTGGTCTCTGTCTCTCGCTGGTCTCTGTCTCTCGCTGGTCTCTGTCTCTCGCTGGTCTCTGTCTCTCGCTGGTCTCTGTCTCTCGCTGGTCTTATTTTATTAGATCATAATGTATTAGATAATAGATTCTAATATGGAGCGAGGATATTGGCGGCTGCAAACCGCTCGCAGCCGCGAACAGTTTTTAAGGCAGTAAGATCCTTCTTCAGCAATCAGAGGTCGCATATTTTGTTTGGTGTTGTTTTGGGGGCATACTGTGACGTGAGAGTTGTTTTATACATTCGTTTATGATGCGTTGTCATGTGGATGACAGGTGCAAACGAAGAAAAATATCTGCAGTGTAGCAGATACCCGGCTACGTGTGGACGGGGCCCAAGATGCTGTTGGATAAACTGTGGCTACAGCCGGACTCCTCAGAGCAAATACAAACATCTTACTGAAGACTTGAGGTCTATTTTCCAGTTCTCATTGGTGCAGTTCTCAGGTCTCTGTCTCCTGTGTCTCAGAGAATAGTCTCACGGACCAAAAGTACATCTGTGACGTGTTAGAGCCGGATGAACAAGGCATTAATCACGGTGCATTAAAAAGAGTGACGATTCAACCCTTCAGTTGTTGCTGGACCTGGATTTCAACATTGTCAGAGAAGAAGCCTGACTCACATTTTCAGGAAGACCTTTTCATGTTTAGTCCTGACTAGCAGGAGGCCAGTCCCTGTGGCAGCTCATGTTCTCAGTTACAGAGGCAGACTTGGATTAAAGCTGGGGGAGAGACCAGAGAGAGAATCTAGAGAGAGACCACAGAGAAACTAGAAAGAGACTGGGGACCTTTGCACATGTATTCCAATGTGGCTTTACTGCAAATGGCAAATAAACTGAATCTGCGCATGTCACCTGTGTATGCGGCGCTCCTGCAGATCCGCCTCGTAGTATCCATGCTTGCAGTCCTTGCCCACCAGCTCGTGGGGGTGGGGCTTGTGCGGAGGGTTTTTGGAGACCAGGGAGATCCGCACACGCATGGGGCCGCTGTAGTTGTGCACCTGCGAAAAGCAAAAGGGACGGACGTGAAGACTAAGATACTGATGCTCCCAAGACACTTGTTTTGACAGTTCAAATTCAAATCCAAAGGAATCCAGCAAAGTTCCCTAAAAAACATTATACATTTTCACTGATTTAAATTTTTGTTACCCTTAATTAGTGCTAAATTTAAACAGTCAATAACAATTGCTCTTCTCTGGTGGAAAACCAAGCTCAACTCAAAACCAGTCTAGAAACAACTAGTCCAGGACCAGTCCAGGACCAGCATCATGGAGGAAATATAGCCATAGCCAATATAGCCAATAATAGCCATAGATTTCTTCCAAAACTCTTCTGCTCTGGGGGTTCTCTGTGTTAATACTGGGGGATGGTGAGTAATAGTTAGTACCTTGATGGCGGGGTGAGTCTTGGTGGTGTCGTTGCTCTTCTCTCCCGGGATGCTGCCGGCGGACCTCCCCTCGCACTTGTACCTGAAGCGCATCCCCCTCTGTTTGGGCTGCTCGATGATCTCTATGAAGGGCCTGGACTGTTGCACTGAGGACGGAGTAGAAGAATGACACCATGACTACCATAAACCACTATGAGCTACCATAACTAAGTGTACATGGGCAGAGAAAATATACCAAAGAACCGGATTCAAATAGGATTTTTCTACAAGTAAGTCCAGACCTCTCTTGTCTCAGTATACATGCAGACCTCTCTTGTCTCAGTATACATGCAGACCTCTATTGTCTCAGTATACATGCAGACCTCTATTGTCTCAGTATACATGCAGACCTCTATTGTCTCAGTATACATGCAGACCTCTATTGTCTCAGTATACATGCAGACCTCTATTGTCTCAGTATACATGCAGACCTTTCTTGTCTCAGTATACATACAGACGTCCTCTGTTGGGACATATTAAATGGGTCTGCTTGTTTTTAACCGTTTTCCCAATAGTTTTAAACTGGGAAAAGCCAGTGATCCCATTCCCTTTCCTCCCTTAACGCAATGACTGGGATAAAAGTGGTGTGGATGTGGATTGAGAAATTTGGGTGTTTGTCTTTTGGTTAGTGGAAGCAGATCAACAGCAGAGTTCAAATGTTTTCTCATAAAAAAACCCTGGTTACTCATTTATCAGGCACTTACCAGGATTGACTGGGCTCATGTTCCAAGCAGAATACAGGCCTGGGAAGAGAAACACAGAGAGGAATCAACATCTATAATTGCTATTCTGATAGAAGTGTGTGAATAATAAATGTTGCAGACAGGACGGTCGGGTCTGTGGTCTTTTTGGAAAGTTTATCAGTAACATGTCTGGAGAGAATGAATAATGACGTCATTGACATGTGAAGAGGTCCTTCAGTGTCCAGAAAAAACCAATATAATATAAAACCAATCTCAAAGACGCAACACATTCACTTACTCCATACACATTGATCATAAACTACTACTGTAGCCACAGCTGCCCTGGGGCACACTGACCAAAGCAAGGCCGTATGCCATCAGCCCCTCCCACCACCAAGTGTCTTGACAAAGGACACAGTGACAGTTTGGCACTTTGCAGCCTCCACATCCAGAGATCCGGCTCGTCATTGGGGTCAGGAGTTAGCACATAGTTGTGGCGAGGCCTGCGAATGTGTGGAAATGTACCAGACTGAGCCGCGTCCAAGCAGGCACCAGCAACAACCAGGCACCAGACAGCACACCAGCAACAAAAACCTGATGGAGGCCCCACACCAGCAACAACAACCTGATGGAGGCACTACACCAGCAATAACAACAACAACCAGGCAGCACACCAGCAACAACAACCATGCAGTACACCAGCAACAACAACAACCTGATGGAGGCACCACACCAGCAACAACAACCATGCAGTACACCAGCAACAACAACAACCTGATGGAGGCACCACACCAACAACAAAAACCAGGCGCCAGGCAGCACACCAGCAACAACAACCTGATGAAGGCACTAAATAAGCAACAACTACAACCTGATGAAAGCACCACACCAGCAACTACAACCTGATGAAGGCACCACTAGGGATGTAAATCGGTGACCGTTTAACCGGTGGTTGACCGTCATAGCGTTAACCGGTCAAAGCTGTCGGTTAAAAAAGAGAAAATAGGAGAGGGGAGGTCTCCTAATAACACTATTTTAAGCCCTATTTGCACGATGTGACGAGCGGGTCCGTCTCTAGCTGTGTGCGCCAATGTATTAGTAAACTCAGGGCCGACTCAGGGCGACAGTAGCTCAGTTGGTAGAGCATTGGCCTTAAGGCCAGAAGGTCGTGGGTTCAATTCCCACCTCTGCACCTTCTCCATCGACTCCCACTGATGACTGCTGTCGTTGTGTCCTTGGGCAAGACACTTAACCCCACTTTGCCCAAAAGCCCCCACTGAAAGATCAAGGCTATGCTCACACTCAAAGAGCAGCCGTCCTCCTGTGGACTCACCACCTGCAGAGGGTCAGTGAGGGGCTGGTGCTATGAGACTTGGGTGGCATCTCTGATTGCCACCTCCTTGACCCAGAAATGGATTAAAGGGCAGAAAATGGATGGATGGAGGGCCGCGCGCGTGCGTGCATGTGTGGCGCGTACACATGCACGCACACGCACGCGCGTGCACACACACACACACACACACACACACTTTCCGCCTACATTGATAAGTAACATCCACACGCATCATCTCTCCCCTCCGGCAAAGTTGCACACTGGTGCGGGTCAGAACTACATTGGAGCTTACATTTACACACCTACACACATACATACATGCATACATACATACATACATGTATGTACGCACACACACACAGGTCTGTCGCGCTCCTGTGTGTCACACAGCCCAAAGGATCCTCGCAAATACGCGGCTCCAGTTAAACCATCATTAGATCAGCTCCACACACATCACTGTATTTAAACTTTAGAGGAGACCTGGGAGACGCGGCTCGTCACTCGCTGCTCTGACAATGTGAATGAGCCGCTGTTTGCTGCTAAAATGCTTTAACCCCCAGCACAGAAGAATGGGAAGATTAAAAAAGCAGTTCTCTGCGCAAAGGTGCCGAAGCTGTTGCAGGTTTTGGCGCCGCTGTCTCGGCTCTGATCCAGTAGAACGCAGAGCTGCACTTATGAAAAGTACGCGGCTCATAATTGCTGTTATTTCAAAGAACGTGGAATATTTTAAACTACGCGGTTAACCGGTTTCAACCGGTTAATGAGGCTCGGTGGTCGGTCATGAAAATTCATAGTTTTTTTACATCCCTAGGCACCACACCAGCAACAACAACCTGATGAAGACACCACACCCGGCACCAGGCCCCATACCAGCAATAATGACCTAAAGATAAACTATCAGAGGATACAGGACAAGACTGAGGCACAACTGTAGCTTCTGTCAGAACCAGAAGATGTTTTATTGCCATTATTATAGTTTGATTATTGCCCTATAGCCACTCCATAATCTTAACATAACAGCGATTAAAAGTACTAGTAGTAGTAGCGGAAATAGAAGTACTAGAATTATTGTAGTAGTAGTAATGCAAAAGTAGTAGTAATGGCGTCATAGTAGTAAAGCTACTAGTCTTATTCTCCTCCATTTCTGTAATGTCTAATGTCATAATATATCACAGAATCGAATATAAATATCAGAATATATCACAATTAAATTGTGGTCCAAAAATTGCAATTCTATCAAATCCTCACATTTGTGGCAATTCCCTAATACAAGTGCACATTAAGTACACACAATAGACATTTATTAGTAAAGTGACAGTAGTATACTTCTGTTGTATTCTGACGGTGGAGTCGTGTTTCAGGGGCTTTGAGGCGATTGTAGAGGCCTGAATGGAGAGGTGTAGCGGGGGAGATCAGGTGATGGTGCTCCTCACGCAGAAAAGCAGACCAAGTCCAGGAAACTACTGTCAACAGCTGGAGATATGGACTGTGTGTTTGTTGCAGATACTTGAAAATCGGGCAATATTCAATCCAATGGGTTAGGGTTTATAAATCGCTTTAGGTCTCAACAGCAGTCGAAAGTTTGCCAACAACAGATCAGAGAAATGCAATAGCTACAAACAGCAGGACGACCACAGCACAGAAATGTTAATAAATGTGCATAACAACATTGAATTAATGTATGAGCCAAAGCATTAAAAGCATATATTTAGAGGAAAAACTGTTCCTAATAAAAAAACTGTAGTTGACATTGTCCATGCCAGTATTGGGAATGTCAGCACAAATATCAGTGACTTTTAAAAGTATTGCCACAAATCTAGTCCCTTGTTTAATCCAGTGGGGGCGGGTCTAGGCTCCAAAAGATCCATGAGCTCGTGCGCCGACATGCAGTAGTCTCACTCCTGGCCGGTGGGGGTGTACCCGGAACCAGAATTACCCAATGCTTTTGTATGGTGTCTTCTTTCCGCTCAAAAACGGCTTCACAGGATGGTCCAAAAGTGGCTCTTGGCCTAACGTTCAGATGCTGTCAGTGCTGAGGGGAGTGTATTTTTTTGGACCAGTCTAGTTAAGCCGCTGTGAACTTTTGAATGCACTCGTTTAATGAATGGGGCTAGCGCAACTAACACATTTCACATTTTCCTGGGGGAGGGGCTGCCCGCTGCCATTTTGAATCTCCCCATGTCTGTGGCACATTTCATATACACGTCCGATAATATTTAGAGTCTATGGTTTAATCCTGAGACTGTAGCTCTCCAGGCGCAAAAGGTTGGAGACCCCTTAAATTGAATATCAAATCCAAAACCATTTGAATAGCTATCTTTAACGTGAATGTTGACAGGGTTTAAATCTGCAGTATTTCTACACGTATCGTAGTAAACCATTAGATGCAAGAGTAATATTTGCAGGGTTGAGTTGATGTGATTGTGTGAGATGTGATTCTGTAATGTCTCCCGGAGCAGTTCAACATTCTTGACATATTTTTTGGATAAATCATTTGCCGGAATGTGGCAGACGGGAAACGTAGCTAAGGAGTGATTACAACAAGTCATTGTTTTGTTTCTTTGCACCTACTGGTGCCACATACACAAACACTACAGCCCCATTGTAGTATTGTAGTAGTAATGTACAATACAATACAATCAGGGCTGAAACAACTAATCGATTAATCGACGACTAATCAATTATTGAAATAGTCGACAACTATTTTAGTAATCGATTAATCGTTTTCTGGTTCACACAGACTCAAACAGAGCAAAAATGACATAAAAATGAAGTATTTTTGATTAAAACCGACTTTGTTTTTATAATTTCATGAATATCTGTCCGTCTCATCCAATCAGAGCAGAATTAGCACAAAGAGCCCGTTACAAACATTTACTTTAAATTTACGCCATCAATACGTCCTCGAGTGTTGCCACTTTAGCTTTTTGTGATGAAAAAATATTTTTTTTCTACACAATTCACAGCCAAGCGATTACTCGATTAATCGTAAAAATAATCGATAGATTAATCGATTACAAAATAATCGTTAGTTGCAGCTCTAAATATAATACAACTTATTCTTGTATAGCCCTAAATCAAAGTCGTCTCAGAGGACGTAACAAAACCATTGAATCACCAACACAGATCAGAGAATCAACAGTCAAGACACAAAAAAAGAATATAGAACACATGTAAAAAAAAAAAAAACGTCCATACATGTTGTAGACTGTTAAGTGTCCTGGATCTGGGCCATCAATACATCCTTTTTGTTGGACACCAACTGTCCAACAGACCCTCCTGCATTGGCAAGGAAAAACTCAAAAAATAAAAAACAGTGGAAAAAAATGTAGTAGTAATGTAGTAGTATTGTATAAGTGGCAGTATTAGTAGTGGAAGTAACCTAGAGTAGTAACCGAGAGGTAGCAATGTAGTAGTATACTTGCAGTAATAGTTTGATTATCGCCTACTATACTATACTATAAATTGTAGTATATCTAATACCATTTTACTAGCTAACTATAAGTTTCCTTTTTCAAGACAAAACAATGCAATAAGAGCACACGGGGATGTAGCAGCAGTACGTCTGTGGGAGTGCATCCTCTCTTCAAGGTTTCTCACTTTTTTTACTCTAAATATTTATACACATTTATGGACATTTATGCACAGTGGTCATCCCACGCCCTATGAACCAATGTTTCATTGTAATCCCTAATTCATTGATTCTCTGATCATGTTCCTGTGGACCCCCCACCTGCTGGAGGATCAGAGAGGAGCTAGTGCTGTGAGCATTGGGTGGCAGCTATATATGTGTGTACATGTGTGAGCAGGATATTTACTAACAGATGATGTTAGTGATATGCAGAGAAATTAAAATAATTCTCTCTTTGCAATTTGTAAAGTGGTTAAGATTAGAGTGCACTTTGTTTATCCCTATTTAGCTTTTTGTCTTTTGACTTCCAGTCCATTTCTGGGTTGGAGGGGGCAGTCAGAGATGCACCCAGTACACTTAGCACCAGCCCCTCACTGATTGTTTTGCCCAAGGACACAACGACAGGAGACATCAGTGGGAGTCGTGAAGTAGGTCTTATGGTGGGCTCGAACCCACAACCTTCAGGCTCAAAGGCCAATGATGCAACATTGCAGGATATATTATTCACAATAAAAGTGGCTATTGCAGTGCTGTTTATTTCAGTCAGGTCATCAGTGACTGAAAGTGACAAGTGTTTTACAGCGGTGGGAAAGAAGGCTCCTTCTTGTACTGAGGGTGCCTCAGTCTTTCACTGAAGGAGCTCCTCAGCTCCTCTACAGTCCTGTGTACTTATGAGTGGGAGGTGTTGTCCATGATGGAGGTGACTCCTGACCAGCTTGCCCAGGGCCTAGCACACGGCAGCGTAGTGTATAGCAGAAGCTCCCACAGAGTTATAAAAAGTCTTGAGCAGAGGCTCACTCCGAAGGACCGCAACCTCCTCAGAAGGTGGAGGCGACTTTGGACCTTCTTGTACAGGGCGTTGGTATTGTGGGACCAGTACAGCTTATTGTTTATGTGAACACCCAATGTAGTATTGTAGTTGTAGCCGTATTGTAGAATTGCAGTACTAGTAATAATGTAGTTATAGTAGAATTGAAGTAGTAGTAGTAGAAGTAGAGCAGCACTAGTATTAGTAATAATATAGCAGTAAGAGTAGTAGTAATGTAATAATAATTGATTAGTTGCGATCAACCGATTAGTCTTTTCAGATGTCTTCACTTCCGTCTCTGGTGTCACGCACGCGTCTTCAGGTGAACTCTAAACTTTCTGTCAGCTTCACACGCGAGCCTGACGCTGCACGCACACGAACCAGTTTCCCATATATATTTATTCGACTCCTGCCAAGTCGAAACACGCGTGATAACCTGAGTCTGAGCTTCCTCCACTGCACTCTGTCAACGGGGCTTTCCCCTGAGCACAACACACCGTCAGCCGTCAGCGTCCGCGGCTCTCCGGACGGTTTTAGCGGTGACAACGGGCATACGTACCGGCCATGGCTCCTCCCGTGGACCCGAGCGATGTGTGGGTAGGTTTGCAGTGGTTTTCGGTGGAGAAAATACGTTCAAAACACGATGTGTGAAGTGTGTAAAAGTTTCTTGACAGAGTGGAGTCAGTGGCACCGCCTGCTGGACCCGCCCCACTGCAGGGAGGGGGTGGTCCGAGAATGAGGCCCACCACATCCGGTTTGGTTTGTTAGCAAAGTAAAGGGACGTTTGTGTTCATTGTGTTGGGCGGCACGGTGGCTGAGTGGCTAGCACTCTCGCGTCAGCAAGAGGTCCTGGGTTCAAATCCCGGTTGGACCAGGGCCTTTCTGAGTGGAGTTTGCATGTTCTCCCCGTGTCTGCGTAGGTTTCCTCCGGGTGCTCCGGTTTCCCCTACCACTAAAAATATGTACAATAGGTCTGACATGTGCCTCCTGTACTGGCCCCACTCCCAAAAAAAATAACAATTGTAAACCGCTTTGAGACTCCGATGTGCAGTGAAAAGGCGGTATATAAATAAAGATTACTTACTACTTACTTCATAGAAAATCCTTTGCTATTATTTCAAAAAGTTATTATTATGTGATAAGGAGAATACCGTGTTACAGAATACTGGGAATTCCTTATTTAAAAATATTTCAATTGAATTTTTTGTATAACCCTAAATCACAACAGCAGTCATCTTGTTTACAAAGTTGTCAATTAGCAAACAACACATCTGAAAATTAAAAAATTCTAACACAGGAAATAAAATAATAACAAACACATAGGGAGTGGGATGGCCACAGTCCAGAAATGTTAGGAAATGCCCTTAATGGTCCCAGATTTTTACGCACATGCATGAGAGCCACACACGTTTCCATTGTAGATACAGTGCCTTGCAAAAGTATTCACCCCCCTTGGCATTTTGTGTGTTTTGTCGCCTCACAACCTGGAATTAACAGGGATTGTTTGAGGATTTGCATCAGTTAATTTACAGAACATGCCCACAACTTTAAAGATGCCCCCCTAAAGTCAATACTTTGTAGAGCCACCTTTTGCGGCAATCACAGCTCCAAGTCGTTTTGGATAAGTCTCTATGAGCTTGCCACATCTTACCACTGGGATGTTTGCCCATTCCTCCTTGCAAAACTGCTCCAGCTCCTTCAAGTTGGATGGTTTGCGCTTGTGAACAGCAATCCTTAAGTCTGACCACAAATTTTCTGGATTGAGGTGTGGGCTTTGACTAGGCCATTCCAACACATTTGCATGTTTCCCCTTAAACCACTGAAGTGTTGCTTTAGCAGTGTGTTTGGGGTCATTGTCCTGCTGGAAGGTGAACCTCCGTCCTAGCCTCAAATCACGCACATGGTACAGGTTTTGCTCAAGAATATCCCTGTATGTAGCACCATACATCTTTCCCATAACTCTGACCAGTTTCCCAGTCCCGACTGCTGAAAAACATCCCCACAGCATGATGCTGCCGCCACCATGTTTAACTGTGGGGATGGTGTTCTTTGGGTGATGTGATGTGTTGGGTTTGCGCCAGACATAGCGTTATCCTTGATGGCCGAAAAGTTAAATTTTAGTCTCATCAGACCAGAGCACCTTCCTCGATACATTTTGGGAGTCTCCCACATGCGTTTTCGCAAACTCAAAACGTGCCATTTTGTTTTTTGCTGAAAGTAATGGCGTTCTTCTGGCCACTCTGCCATAAAGCCCAACCTTTATGGAGCGTATGGCTTATTGTCGTCCTATGTACAGATACTCCAGTCTCTGCTGTAGAACTCTGCAGCTCCTCCAGGGTTACCTTAGGTCTCTGTGCTGCCTCCCTGATTAATGCCCTCCTTGCCCGGTCCGTGAGTTTTGGTGGGCGGCCCTCTCTTGGCAGGTTTGCTGTTGTGCCATGTTCTTTCCATTTGGTTATGATAGATTTGATGGTGCTCCTGGGGATCATCAAAGATTTGGATATTTTTTTATAACCTAACCCTGACTTGTACTCAACAACACTGTCCCTTACTTGTTTGGAGAGTTCCTTGGTCTTCATGGCAGTGTTTGGTTAGTGGTGCCTCTTGCTTAGGTGTTGCAGCCTCTGAGGCCTTTCAAAAAAGGTGTGTATATGATGTACTGACAGATCATGTGACACTTAGATTGCACACAAGTGGATATCATTTCACTATTTATGTGACTTCTGAAGGTAATTGGTTGCACCAGAGCTTTTTATGGGCTTCATAACAAAGGGGGGGATACATATGCACATGCCATTTTCCAGTTTTTTTATTTCTGAAAAATTGTTTTATTTTTATATATTTTTCTCAATTCACTTCACCCGATTAGACTATTGTTTTCTGATCCATCACATGAAATTCAGATTTTAAAAAAATGAACTAAAGGCTGTAATGTAACAAAGGGGGGTGATTACTTTTGCAAGGCACTGTACAGTTACAAACACAAAGCCTGTTCAATGCAAAGTTTGTTTTATTTTGAAAATCCCCGTTTCCCTGTTTCCTGTGGTGTTTCAGCTGCTCTGATGAGGTTTGTCTGCTCAGCTCTGCACCCTCTACGCCCCCCTTCCACTGCGGTGCAACCAGTGCGGAAATACCCAGATGACGCACATGAAAGGACCGGCGCAAGGCAGTGGTGCGGCGGGGAAGAGGAAAGAGAGCACCGGGCCCTGAGTCACTGCCTGGAAGTCTACTTTACTGCTACTTATCACAGGCTTAGTCTGAGTTTCACCACTTCCCCTGGGAACCGCGCGGCTGCAACGGCGCAAAATCAAAAATTGCATCATGGAGAGTGATGTAATGTTGTTTATTATTGTGTTTTTACATTTGCCCGAGGACAAGCTTCTGCCATTAGTGAAACATATATATATATATATATTATAAGTTAATTCAATTGTATGTGTTTTTGTATCACCCCACGGGCACAGGGGTCATCCGTTGTACTGCAGACTAAATTCATGTGGGCTACCCAGAAAAAAGTCCCATAGATCTCAATATCTCAATGTAAACTAAAACAGCTCGACTTCAGCTGACAGAGAACCTATAGCTTTCATAAAGATTGGATTTTGTGGGGATTTTGTGTCGATTGTCATCCTGAACTTTTTTTCTTCTTAAATCCACACTTTACTGCCACAAACTGCTCGTTTCCTTCCCGCTCTAGCTCCTCTCTGATCAGCAGTTCTGATTGGTCAGAACGCGGCCGAGCCCCTCTGTGCAAGTGCATGAGAGCCACACAAGTGTATTTGGCGCAACGCATCATGGGAGATAATCCACTGCACAGAACCGGAAGGACCAGACGATACCCAAATATAGCCAAGTTCCTCTGATATGTCAGCGCCCGTGAAGTCCCATGCGCTACTGAGCACAAGCCATTCATTTGAGTATAGGGCGCCATCTTCGATCACCGGGGCTTCACACACACACGCACGCACGCACGCACGCACACACACTAATGTGAACTTTGGAACATGGCTAACCTCTTCACACCTCTAGCGCAGTGGTTCTCAAACTTTTCACACCAAGTACCCCCTCAGAAAATACTTGCCTCCAAGTACCACCACAAATGACCAACACTACTTGGTAGTAAGCCTAGCTTACCTCGGTAGTAGCGTAGTAAGCCTAAGTATTCATCAAAAACAAGGCAGAGGTTTAATTCCTAAAGAAGTGTATTCAATGTAACATTTTACACAGTTTCAACAGTAAGATACAAAATATAGGGGGAAAAAATGTACTTAAATAATGATTCAAATAAAATGTTCAATTCATTGTGAACTGCAAAGCCTCACTGTGAGTGATATTCTGGAGTGGGATCTTTGTCCACAGAAGGTTTGGACACTGGTGCACTTTAGTTTCTAAGGCTTGGTCTGCTGCCCTCTTACATCTGTCGTTTACTCACAGAGACATGTTCTCATGGTTTGGATCAAATGATCTTTTGTTGCTCTCTGTTCCTTTTGCACAGAACTGGGAAAAAAACTTTTGTTTTTGCTGCTCCTTCTATATGGAACATGTTGCAAAAAGACTGGAAATTATCTAAACTTATTTCCTTGAATGCTTTTAGATCCAGACTGAGAGACTGAGACATCCTCATCGAAATGTAACTGTTTTTATAATCCGTAATTTTATGAAATTGTGTAAGACTGTTTCATAATCTGTAATTGTATGTAATTTTTTTACACGACTGAAAAAGAGGTTCTCATTGACTGCCAGCCATTCTTGATGACTTCACTGATTTTCAAGACTCACAGAATATTGTGTGCTATGAGTATGAATGATATGAAACCAGAGTCTGAAAGACAGGACTGTCTACTTTCAGCAGAAAAAATAGGTTTGTTTTTAGCTTGTTTCGTTCTCCTGTGATCTCCAGTCGAAAAGAGGGAAGTGTGACAAAAAGCACCAGTCTTAGACAAAATTGAAAACAGACGAACTGCAGAAAAGTGATTGTTACACTATTTAATATAACTTTAGCATCTCCTCAAACATGTCCAGGATCTTACATGTTAGAAAACAGCAACACGTTTTGAGAGTTTTTGATGCAAAATAATATGTTTTATGGCACACACACCCACATCCACAACATTGCTCGAATGTTTCAAAATGTACTCATCCAAAAAATGTCAAAATGTACATATTGAAAGTAGAGCCCATGACAAACTGGCAGAAAGAATGGCCAGTATTCATCCATTAGGTGGCACTATATTTATGTCATCAAGAGTAAATCAGAGATAAGCAAAATAACAATGATAAACACTATAAATGACAATAAATCAAAGTGAACACACAATATACTGTACATAAGTGCAATAGAATACTGTTGTGTGTCTTTGTGTGTTTGGGCGCGCAAATATTTGCGTTTATGCGCATGTCTGTGTGTTTTTGTGTGGTTACATCTACAGAGTGGTGTTCTGTCTAGTCCAGCGAGTGCTGTGACCATAACTGGATTTTACCGCTGGCTCCTGGTGCAGGCTCAATGATAGTTTTAGCAATAGTCCACTTTTCTGTGGCTTTTTTGGGATGCCCCGCTGGTCTGCTGTCCTGACCCTTCGATGGTCTGCTGCCCTGACCCTCCACATGGTCTGCTGCTCTGACCCTCCACATGGTCTGCTGCTCTGACCCTCACATGGTCTGCTGCCCTGACCCTCCACATGGTCTCTGTCAGTTCTGGAGACACATTTACTGGTCAAACGGCCTCAAAATGTAGCCTGACCCTGACTATATTACTCCATGTCTGCTTCACCTCTATCTCTCCTGCTCAGAGAGCTCAGGCAGTGATCTTTGACCAAGCCAGGGAGTTCTGCTGCCACCTGCTGGCTTAATAAAATACTGTCTACAGCCAAACCCCAGACTGTATGATACAGGGGACACAGACTGACAGGAAAAGATTGAATTGAAAAACAATGTTGATGTAAATTGACATCAATTGTTAAATAAACAAACAAACAAAAAAACAATTGTTTTCCTTGTTTTTTTTTTACAGTGATTCTTTGGCGTACCCCTAGAGTACCCCAGTTTGAGAAACACTGCTCTAGCGTAATTAGAAGTATGACTAACCACTTCATGCCGGTTTTACCAAACTTAGATGCATGGCTAACCCCCTCACACCTGTATGAATGCACTTGGAAGCATGGCTAACCACTCCAGAGTTAATAGAACCTTAAACAGTTGAAAATTGTGACTTCCTGCATCTGTGCTCTTGTCCATAGACTTCACAAAACGCCTGATTCTTATCTGAGGCCACAGTCCCTGATGGTCTGATTGTCCTGCTGCGCTATTGTTGTTCCCGCCCACACAGATCCTCCTGACGTCAAGCTGAACATAAATCACCAGGACCGGGGCACAAGCACTTTCAGAATAAAGTGCTAAACAAAAACTTCACAAAGCACGGTTCAGGAGTTTGGGGAAAATGTGAAAACAGAACCATCTTTTGCTTTGCTCAGACAAACTATATCATTATTCACGTAGGGCTAGTCAACACCCCGGGGCGGAGTCTTGCACAGTTTTTCCAATGTGTTTTTACTGCAAATGGCAAATACATTCTTGAATATAGGACTAGATTGAATCAATAAAGCAGTGACAGCTATTCTGAGGCGGACTATACACTGAGATACAATTCAAGACTGTATCAAGGCTAGGCTATTTATTTGTATAGCACAATTCAAGAATATAAGGCAACAAGTACTTAACAGAACAAGATGAAAACAATGATTTAAAATAATAAATAATCACAGTACATTCAACATTTTCAGGAAGACTTTTTCACATTGCATAAATCTAAAACGCTGTCCATGTGCTCCTCAGATGTCACACCTCTAGTAATGAACTCATGCATGGCTAACCACTTTACACCAATATTGATATTATTTTTCACATAAAAATCGTAATATACATATTTCAAAACAGTTATAAAACATATATGATCTTTGAAAAACATGTGACCTAAGTACCAACGTTCACTACTACTAGTGAACTTAGAAGCACGGCTAACCACTTCACACCTGCATTAGTGAACTTAGAAGCACGGCTAACCACTTCACACCTGCATTAGTGAACTTAGAAGCACGGCTAACCACTTCACACCTGCATTAGTGAACTTAGAAGCACGGCTAACCACTTCAACACATGAAACAAAAAAATTAGAAGGTTTTAAGCCGAAATACCCCATCCACATAAAATAAAACACGCATGCATACATATCACGTGTGTTTATTGTGGAGGTGCGCATCGGAAGCTCTCGCCTATACTCCTCGTTCTCGTTCTCGCTCTCTCTCTAGCTCTCTCTCTCTCTCTCTCTCTCTTTCTTTCTCCCTCCCTTGCTCTCTCTCTGTTCCGTGTCATCTGACTCTTTTCCTGTTGGGCAAACTAAAACGAAAAAAAAAAAAAAAGTTTCGAAACCCCACCCTCCACGCGCACAGACGCACCAGTGGTTCGAGGTCGTGACGCTGCTGCCGCGAAACCGGGATGAACTTATTCTTTACATTATTTTCCCTTTTGGACTAACTTCACACCGCAAACCAACGCTCCAACTCAACCTGCACTCGGATTATTTCACTCAGGAGTCTCGCTGGAGTTTCCCCCCCTTTAAAACTCTCACAAAATGTTCTTAAACCTCGCTGGGAATGCATTCTGTTTGTTTGGAGATGTTTAGTGACTGATATTGTCGCGCGTCTAATGCTGCGCTGTGTTAAAACCGCGTCGCGTTGTAAATATTAGTGTAAATTGTGGAGCGTAGCGGTCATTTCTCTGCGATCGTAAAACAACAGTGGGTCTGCTGGACTGAATGCTCCTTTCCTGCCATTCTTCTCGGTCTGTCCTCGCTTCCTGCTTGCGATGGCCACTGCACTTAACAGCTAAAAATACACACCTCTGGATTTAGCTTTAATTTCAGTGCGTTTCTCAGCAAAAGACGCGTTCGTTTTTGGATTTCGCCTGGAGCAGCGCGCAGCAGGTGGAATCGTGGGGATGAGGGGAATTGCCTTGTGCAATAAAATGAGGTCAATATGAGGTGGTCTAGAGAACCCCCCAAAAGTATGGTGAGAAATGTATCGAGACATTCCAATTGGATTCCACGCAACAGTAAAGCAGGATTTTAAACTGAGAGGATATTATAGTAACAGTTAGACACGGCTTGGTCTGAGAGTTTTATGACTTTTATCCATTGCAATTCAATTCAGTTTAGTTGTGTATAGCAATAAATCACAACAGCAATAATCTCTGAGGACTTCAGAAAGTTGGCGATTCACCCACAATAGATCAGAGAGTCAAGCATTTCGTACAGGAAATGCTAAAATATCAAATAACAAGATGTTGCGTTGTCAAATATTACCATTATTGTGACTTTTTTACAATTATTGTTCCATTGTGTTGAATCAATATCATCTAAATGATAACGTGAGGTTAACGTGACTGCGCTGTAGGCTTAATTTTTAGATTTTGATTGTAAAACTGATTTTTAAAATGACCTAGCTTGTATAAAACCAACATTTTCCCCCTGTACTATTATATTTCAAGCTAAAACAATCCTTTTGAATCCCCCTTTCTTGACAACGTCTCGGTGGATTTGTCTTCTGAAGATCTTTCCCTCATGAACCAACAAGAAAGACTGCAAAGGGAACGGGAGAGAGGCGCGATAAAGTACGCCTTTGTACTTTATTTGGAAACCGTAGGAGGGCTCACCAAATCCAAACATCTGGTTCCATGGAGCCCCTGAAGAACATATTCAGCCGCGGCCCGCTGTCCAACTGGAAGAACCTGGACCAGTCGGCGAAGGGGAACTTTAGCAACCCCGTCTGGACCGCCTTGTTCGACTACGAGGCTTCCTGCAAGGATGAGCTCACTCTACGGAAGGGAGACCAGGTGGAGGTTCTGTCACTGGATTCGGAAATCTCAGGAGACGAAGGCTGGTGGGCCGGGAAAGTCAACAACAAGGTGGGGATCTTTCCTTCCAACTACGGCTCCTTCAAGCCCAGCGGTTATGGCACACTCCCAGGCAGAGCGGTGGTGGGGGAGCTGGCGCCTGGAGAGTTCGAACCTCTGGTGGTGGATTTCCGTGAGCTGAGCCTGGAGGAGGTAATCGGAGTTGGCGGGTTCGGGAAGGTTTATCGCGGTACGTGGAGAGGTGGGTTGGTGGCAGTGAAAGCGGCGCGCCAAGACCCAGACGAGGATATAAGTGTGACGGCGCAGAATGTTCGGCAGGAGGCCAGGCTGTTTGCTATGTTGACGCATCCCAACATCATTGCGCTGAAGGGGGTGTGTCTGCAGGAGCCCAACCTGTGCCTGGTGATGGAGTATGCCTCTGGGGGGGCTCTGAGTCGTGCTCTGGCCGGGAGGAGGATACCCCCGCACGTGCTGGTGAACTGGGCCGTGCAGATCGCCCGCGGGATGCTCTACCTCCACAGCGAAGCCATCGTCCCGGTCATCCATCGAGATCTCAAGTCCAACAACAGTAAGTGGAAAAGACACGTCTCTGTTTGACTTTTGTGTTTTCTCTGAGTTTCCTCTGGTCTTTTCCATCTGAGGTTTATGTTCCTTTCTGATGTTTGCTTTCATGACTCTAGTCCAGGGGTGTCGAACTCATTTTGGTCAGCGGCCAAATAAAAACAATAAGAACTGGTCGGAGGCCGAATAAAAGGAATTTCCTTTTTCTTATAAATGTTTTTTACAGTATGAAGGTGTTTTGACATGACTTTTATGTAACATGACATTCCTTATAATTTTTTGGTTTGATTTTTCTGCAAACAAAATGTATATATATATATATCATTATATTTAATTATTAAAGTGTTAGAAGTAAATAAATGTTGGGGTTAGGGTTAGGGTCCATAACCATCAATGCTGTTAAGTTAAGAAGTCCTTTTTTCCTTTATTTTTCCCACAGTTCGGACATTTCATTTGTATAAATACACATATACACACAAGGCATGCAGCATACAATTACTTCGGCGCTCCTTGACACAACGACAGCACACATCAGTGTGAGAAGGTCTTGGGGTGGGTATGAACCCATGAACCTGTGATTGTCTCCCCCACAATAAAAATGGCCTCTGCTACATCTTTAGTTCAGCCTTTTCTGCCCAAAATGAGTATTGTGTCTGGATTAGGATTAAGAGATCCTTTATAAGGAGATTTATTAGAGAAAAGGTGAGACTAGATGGACCCCATCAGCAGTATGTTTGGTATTTATTTCAGTTAGAAATAAATATCAAATATTCACATTTATTTTACACCATATTTGCTAGTTATCAAACTCAATCCATCAGCTTTCAGCCTGGGAGTCGATTAGTGACCCAGAGATCTTTCTGGAAAATACGCAAAGAATAACATGTCTTCTCATAGGAAGAAGACGGCCTGTTTTTTCCCAATAAGAATTCAACTGTAATGAATAAAAAGTCATAGAGTTGAATGAGTTTAGCTATTTTAATTCCAAACCGTACTTACAGTTCCTTTAAGTTACTACCTTTTTAACCAAGCCTTTTTCCGTATTGCTGTTGTTATGTATGTATGTTGTATGTAACATTTATAGCATAATAAAGAAGCTAGTATAAAATCTCTAGTTTTAGCATGATTAAGAAGCTAGTATAAAATCTCTAGCTTTAGCCTAATAGAGAAGCAAGTATGACACCTCTAGCTTTAGCATAATAGAGAAGCAAGTATGACACCTCTAGCTTTAGCATAATAGAGAAGCAAGTATGACACCTCTAGCTTTAGCATAATAGAGAAGCAAGTGTAAAATCTCTAGCTTTAGCATGATAAAGAAGCAGGTATACAATCTCTGACATTAGCAAGATAAAGAAGCTAGTAAAACGTTTCTAGCTTTAGCATAATAAAGCCTAAAATCAAGCGTATCAAGAGGCAAGCGTAAAATCTAGATTTAGTCTAAAATTTCAAGCTGTACCATAAAAAAGGAATACATCTTTATATTAATATTTGGACGTCTTCTTGGTTTTGTGTCTGATTATTTGACCTTGAATGGACCCAAAATGGACAACCCTGCTCTATGTGAAGCAATCAAAGGAGGAATGTCTTACAAAAGTGGCATCCTTATGAAACGGCCTGGTCATGTGACTTGTCCTGGTCGCACAGAGTTTTGGATTTTTTGGCTGTGTGTTCAGTGCGGACTCGCGGAGGACCTCCCAGGACTCGCTGTGATCTGGGACAAAGGGGAGCGAGCCGAGAGGGAAATGATTAACCGCGAGCCGTCAGTGTGGGAAATTACCCCTCAGCAAATTCTGAAGCAAAGCCATTTCTTCTCCAGCGTGAGGGTTAGAGATACAGATGCAATCTTTCTCCAGAATCTGTTGTTTTTTGGGAGATTTGTAAAAGGAGACGACCTTTCAGAAGGCCATTGCTCTGATTCCCTCTCTCCCCCTGGTCTCTCTCGCTGGTCTCTTTCTGGTCTCTCTCTGGTCTCTCTCTGGTCTCGCTCTGGTCCTTCTCTGGTCCCTTTCTCGGGTCTCTCTCTCTGGTCTATCTTTGGTCTCTCCCTGGTCTCTCTCTGGTCTCTCTTTGGTCTCTCTCTCTGGTCTTTCTCTGGTCTCTCTCTCTGGACTTTTTCTGGTCTCTCTCTGGACTTTTTCTGGTCTCTTCTCTGGTCTCCCTCTGGTCTCTCTCTGGTCTATTTCTGATGTTTCTCTGGTCTCTCTCTGGTCTTTCTCTGGTCTCTCTTTGGTCTCTGAACCCTCTCTGGTCTCTCTCTCAGGTCTCTTTCTGGTCTCTGGTCTTTTTCTCCGGCCTTTCTCTGATATTCCTCAGGTCTCTCTCTGGTCTCTTTCTGGTCTCTCTCTGGTCTCTCTCTGTTGGTTCATGATTGTAGATCCAGGACTGAGGCTGTAGATCTAGGACTGAGGCCTTGTTCAAACACAGATCTGTTGGACCCCATGACCTCAGACCTTTTTCACAGGGAGGAGCCGTGTTCTAAACCCATATTCTCCGCTCAGAGTGAGTAAAGAGCAGCAGGAGCAGGCTCTAAACCCGCTCTGACCAGTCTGAACAGTCACGGCTCGTCCTGCATCAGAAGAATGATAATCACAGAGTGGAGGCAGAGAGGAGGCAGCGCACAGAGAGAGAGAAGAGTATTGTGTTGTGGCCGTAATGACAGAACCAGGAGAGACCAGGGAGAGACCAAGAGACCAGGGAGAGACCAGGGAGAGACCAGGGAGAGACCAGGGAGAGACCAAGGAGAGACCAAGGAGAGACCAGGGAGAGACCAGGGAGAGACCAGGGAGAGACCAGGGAGAGACCAGGGAGAGACCAGGGAGAGACCAGGGAGAGACCAGGGAGAGACCAGGAGAGACCAGGGAGAGACCAGTCTGCAGAACACCAAAGCTCCCACCGACAGACAGAGCGAAACATGGATGGTCTGTTTCTCTTTCTGATCTCTCTCTCTGGTCTCTCTCTAGTCTCTCTCTGTCTGGTCTCTCTGGTCTCTCAATCTGATCTCTCTCTCTGGTCTCTCTCTGGTCTTTTTCTGGTATCTCTCTTTTTGTCTCCTTCTGGTCTCTCTATCTGATCTCTCTCTCTCTCTGGTCTCTCTTTGTCCCTCTCTGATCTCTCTCTAACCAATCTCCCTCTGTGGTCTCTCTTTTGGTCTCTCTCTCAATCTTAAAAGAAAATCACAAACAATCGTTTGTATCTGGGCCATTCTCCCTAATTTCATAAAAATCAAGCAGCAGAGAGTTGTTTTTTTGTTTTTTGTGAACGTTGTGGTCCCTGGGCCTAATTTGGGAGCTGAATGGCACGGTTGAGAGAAGCAGAATATGGCAAATCTGACTGACTTTAGCTGCTGTATGTAGCGACTCGTGTTTGCATTTACAAAAACTATATAAAAATATAAACACTGGGATCACAGAGAGCCTTGAACTACAGATTTATTTACGCCCATAAAAGTGAGTGTGACACAAACAGTAACTGAGATAGAGGAGTTCTACTTTTACATGGAAGTCTGTGAGTTAGCAGGTTAGCATTGTCTCTGGGCTCTCTTTCTAGTCTGTCTCTGCTCTTTTTCTGGTCCCTCTCTCTGGTATCTCTGGTCTCTCTCTCTGCTTTCTCTCCAATCTCTCTCTCTGGTCTCTTCCTAGTCTCTCTCTGGGCTTTCTCTGGTCTCCCTCTGGTCTCTCTCTCTGGACTCTCTGGGCTCTCTCCCTGATCTTTCTCTCTCTCTCTCTCTGGTCTCTTTATGTGGTCTCTCTCTGGTCTTACTCTCTAATCTCTCTCTCTCTCTGTTCTCTCTCTGGTCTCTTTCTCTCTCTCTCTCTGATCTCTCCCTCTGATCTCTCTTCCTCTTTGGTCTCTCTCTCTTTCTCTCTTTCTCTCTGGTCTCTTTCTGTTTAGTCCCACCAGTTTCAGTCCTCCTTCTCTAACACGTAGAGCTGGTCCCTGAGCTGGGGGCCGATGGTATCTCTCTCCGTCAGATTTGATTCCCCTTTGTCCCCTGGCCTGTCCCTGCACGTCTTCTGGATGTGGCGTAGAAAGACTTAAGCCCTGTTTCCACCTACTCTGGAGTCGTTCCTCTGGTCCTGTGTAACCAGTACCAGGTCCTTCTTTAGTCCATTAGTTTAGTGTTATTTTAGTTTAGTTTCTTGAGCGCTTGGACATATACATATGTTACAAGCAGATTATTATACAGAGGGCTCAAAAGGAGTAGATAGAAGCGTAGATTATGGGCCTACCCCTCTTGGTCCTGGTTCTATCCAGGCCGAGCTGGTACTAAAGTGTTCTAACTGACAGTGATTGGTCAGAGTGGTGCTGGAAGCCATGGTTACCAAGGAATGTTTCTACAGAGAGAGATGAGAGAGAGACGAAAGAGACAAACAAGAAAGAGAGAGACAAGAGACAGACGAGAGAGACACAGACGGAAGAAATAGATGGGAGAGAGATAGGGGAGAGGGAGGCGGGAGAGACAGACAAGTGAGAGACGAGAAAGAGACAAGAGATAGACAGGTGAAAGAGAGAGATGGGAGTGAGAGACTGGAGAAGGAGATGGAAAAGGGAGACAGGAGAAAGAGACGGGAGAGAGAGAAGAGAGACGGAAGAGGGAGACAGGGAGAGAGACGGGGAGAGAGACGGGGAGAGAGACGGGGGGAGAGAGACGGGGAGAGAGACGGGAGAGAGAGACGGGAGAGAGAGACGGGAGAGAGAGACGGGAGAGAGAGACGGGAGACGGGAGAGAGAGACGGAAGAGAGGGACGGGAGAGAGAGACGAGAGAGAGAGATTGGAGAGAGACTGGAAAGACACACGGGGGATTGAGAGACGGGTGAGAGAGAGACGAGAGCAGGACGAGAGCGATACGAGAGAGAGAGACGAAAGGGACAAACGGGAGAGAGAGATAAAGAGAGAGACAGGAACGAGAAACGGGAGATAGAGCGATGAGAGCAGGACAAGCAGTGATAGTTGATTATAGGCGTCCAGCTACATGCCTCCTTAAATGCCATCTCTCAGGATCACGG